CGGGTTGTGCTTTTTGAGCCAGGAGTATCCAAGTATCAGGTCCTGCCTTCCAATGTGGGTCACAGCCAGCTGGACACGTTTGGAGTGTCTGTTGTACCACAGAACAAGGTCTGCAATTTGGTAAATAGACTCAACATCATTAGGGGTGCTGTTGACGTTGTAGACCGGAATGGGTACTGAGAGATTCAGCTTATTTACTCAGGAATACTGTCAGGGGAACCCCTGCTTCGGCCTCCTTCAGACCATCCGAGCGCATCCGAGGTAAATCCCACCGGCGCCCACTCGGACGCTCCGACCCACCCCCGACCCTCGTCCCTCGGCCTCCTTCGCCCGCACAATCACCGATCCGTCAAGACCCTCCCAACGGTCACCTTGGGACCTCGCCTGTGACACCGCTTAGGCCTTCTGCACTCTACGTCGGCAGTTACGGACAACCAGTATATAGTTGGCGCCCTAGCAGGTGGACCCTTAGAGTTTCTTCTCTTTGGATCCTCCCCTGCTAGGTCGGTCTCTCCGTGTATCTCCGTAGCTTTTATTCACGCTTTGGATCCTCCCCTGCGAGGCTTTCGTCGGAGTCTCCAGGGTTGCCCTTACAAATACTAATAAAAACGTGGCTACTGGTAAAGGGCTATACTTATACAACCTGGGGAAGGGCTTAAGTGTTACAAAGTTACACTTTTTAAAAACCCATTTTATTCATTTCTGGGTGTTAGATTATGGTATTGATAATGTGATTAATAACATTAAGATAAAGTGATTGATGTGGAACAATTTTTGATGGTCATCAGCAAATTTGATGAGCAGGTCAAGATGTATCAATCTTAGCCTAATTAGGATGCATACCTTTGCCCTAGATCACAGGCCTACCTAGATGTTTATCTGGGTCTTCGGCCTGAAGAAATGGTGATTTACCTTTCCATATCTATCTGGTAATAGCCTAGTCATAGCTGTCAAACTCATTGAGATATTCACAATTGATTGAATGTCCCATTTTTGTCACAATACTCTGGCCATGGCTAGTATGAGCTCCCCCAGGTTTTATGAGTACAGCTCTTCACTAGTAGCCACAGTTTTATTAAGAAAACTGGGTACACATCCTGAGAGATTCCAGACCGGCACATCATTTTGATTGGCATATTGTGCGTCAATGAAGTCTGAAGTTGCTCCGCAGTTAACTAGGCCTGAGAGGGAGAGCTTGAGAGGATTTGCAGTAGACTCAAGTTTGAGGGGGAGATCGAGTGAGTTAACCCCAGGTGCAGCAGAGTTGGTATAACTGTCAGGTAACTTTTCTCCCAGGCAAGTCAGCAAATCCGAACGGGGGGCTTCAGAGGGGGTAGAGGGTGTGTCTTTTGTTTCAGGCTTATTGTAGAGCAAAGGGGTTGATTCATTATACAAACAAGTGAAACGGTTTATGACGAAAGCCCAGCAGGGGAGGGTCCAAAGTGTGGATAAAAGCTACAGGAAGTACATGGAGGGACCAACCTAGGATCCAAAGAGAAGAAACTCTAAGGGTCTGCCTGCCGCCAACTATATACTGGTCATCTGTAACTGTTGACGTAGAGCACAGAAGGCCTGAGCGGCATTACTGTCCCAAGATGATTGTTAGGAGGGTCTTGACGGATCAGTGATTGTGTGGGTGAAGAAGGCCATAGACAATGGTCGGGATGAGTCAGAGCCAGGTGATGTCAGGGGAACCCCCCGCTTCAGCCTCCCTCGGACCATCTGAGCACATCCGATGTGCATCTGACTGGCGCCCCCTCGGATGCTCTGACCCATCCTGATCATTGTCCATCACCTGTATATGTAAGATTTAGCCTCGGTTCTAGGAGTAGCTAGAATAGCAGTAGCCTAAAACTCTAGGAAGACTTTTTCTAGCCAAGAAAGACTTTAGAAATAGGTTATTAATACATCAAATTGATAGATATGATGCTAAAATACTATATATAGTAATGCTAACTTTTTTTTCTTCAAGCAGATGACCGTTATATAGTTGGGAAGGCCTATATCAATGATTGTCCTAATTGGGACCAAAATGATGTAGCTTGACACAGTGATCAAAACAACTAATGGCCATCAGAAATCATTCCACATTAATCATCTATATCAACTATAACAATCTCTATCAAAATTAAGATAATATAGAGGCAGAAAATAAATAATAAAATCCTAGTGATTACACTACTAAACATAGAGACTAGGAATACCTAGATTTCTAGGCTACTGCTATTCTAGCTGTTCTTAGAGCTTTATGGCCTAAATATTACCACTACGGCTCCCCGTCTATGGCCTCTTTTTTTTTTTTTTTTTTTTTTTTTTTTTTTTTGTGGTACATATCGAAAAATGCACAGTTAACAAAGTTATCCTGCAGGATTTGTGTAAGGTGCAGGGTGCAATCCAGGAAAGCACCCAATATTGAGGGGAGAAGAAAAAAAAGGGGGAAGAGGCTACCACTCAGGGAAATGTACAGTTACATGCCACATCACGGCAGTGTGGGGATCCGCTAGGGGGGGTGGAGTGTTCCTGCGGGACCCACTAAAACCCTGGGTAATTTCAGCCATTCCTCTGGGAGTTGATCATCTCCGAGGGCGTCATGCCATGTCTTCTGCACCAGTATGGGGTCCATTCTAGGGAGGCTTCCTCCCCGGGGTCTCAGTGCTAGCACCCGGTCTATCTCCAGTCTATCGTTTATACATTGATATCATCTGTTAACCACTTCTTGTGGGGAGTGTTCCTCACCATCATGGGGAATCACTCGTTCGTTCCTAAGTTTCCAGATGAGGAAGGCCGCTTCGGACACTATGGTCCGGAATAGTCTCTGTTTTGCCCTGGACGGGTGGCCATCTGGCCCCCGTAGCTTTGCCAGCCCGCATCCCAGGATTGCCCTGAGGGACGCGTTATTGGCCAATCATCCCCGGCGCGGAGCCACGCTTCCCCAGCGGCTTGCCAGACTTCTGCCTGGCCGACTTTCGCGCATTCAAGAAGTATATGCTGGAGGTCCTCCGTCACACCACAGCCCGCAACACAGGCTTATGGTGTCCCCATCAGGAAAGTCGCGCAAGTGGTTTCCGATGTAGTATGAGTCGTGGTGAGCCCTCCAGAGGAAGTTTCTCACCTGTCGGGAGAAGTCACGGTTCCGTAGAACTTCCCACACTTCGGCTTCCGGCACCGTCCTGCTGTACGCATCTGCCACGTCACGCTGGATTTCTCTCACTCTCTTAGCAGTGCTCTTCCTTTCGCCAGCGTCCCTATGCTTCGCTTCCCTGATAGCGGCATAGATGACCCGTTGCTTGGTGCCTGCCAGCTGTAGCCCCGGGACGTCAAAGCCTTTTCAGCTGGTCAGTCGGATGGCCGTCGCCCTCCTGTCGCACGCCGCCCACGCTGATTTCCTCACAGACTTCATGGCGCTGTCCGTGTCTTTGACCACTGTGAACACTGTGCGCCCCTAGGGATGGGCACGGATTGGGCCAATCCGGACCGATACACGGATTGTATCCGGACGGATATGGATACGGATAGGACTTTATGCTCACAAAAAAGTATCCATGGGTGAGAATTGAATCGCTGACCTCTGTAGCAGCAGTCAGGCAGAATTTAGGCAGTTGGAAAGAGAATAACTGAGGTAGTTTGGGTTTAGGAAGTATGACATATGAGGCCACATAGTCCCGATCCGCCGGATTATCCTTATCCATATCCGCGGATTGCGGATAGGTGGCTGTGCGGATACGGATATAGGTAGGGGGTCCGGTATCCACAGATTTATCCGTGCCCATCCCTATGCGCCCCAGAAACCAGTATATACTGCAGCATTTTAATCAATTTGGTGGGCACGCATCATACCATCCTTAAAACACCAAAGATTTTCAGCAGTCACATGCAATAGCAACAAACACCAAATTCACCTAGTAAATTCACCATTTTTGGCTAACATGGCCCTGTGGGCCATGCCGTAATATGCCGAAAATTTTCAGTGGTCACACTCAAAGGTCTTGGATGCCGAAAATTTCAATTTGGCACCAATGTCATACACATTTTGTGTGCCAAATTAATTAAAATGCTACAGTAGTTGGCGCCCTAGCAGGCGGACCCTTGGAGTTTCTTCTCTTTGGATCCTCCCCTACTAGGTCAGTCCCTTCATGTATTCCCGTAGCTTTTATTCACACTTTAGGTCCTCCTGCTTAATGAGTGATCAAATGGTCTGAACTACTCAAAAATAGGTACCTAAGACAAAACAATCTTCTAAAGAGTTATTAACTTTTGCACAATACTGCTTGGAGGTATCAATGACTCATTGGGCCCCAAAGACCCGATTTGACTTTGCAGCATACAATGGACTGCCTTACTAGGCCCATTAACTTGACTCAACCTTGCCTGCTTCACTTGCAGGCCTGACAAACTGTCTATTCTGTTTTGGGCGCACATTTCTTAGGAGAGCCTTGCACAGCTCAACCTGAAGCCTGACATTCACCTGACAACTGATTTTAGCATTGTTAAAATGCTTTGTTGATGGCTCACTGATTCTTGTGTAGAAACTCTTTGTTCACCACTTCAATGGCACTGAAACTAGCACTGATAGGTATAGTTTTGTTGGAGCTGATTTGTGTACATATTTGTCCAAATTCTGAGTGGGTTTCTGTTCAATTAAAACTTGACATTTAAGTTGGTCTAAAATCACTTACGGTTTCTGGTGAGCTGACATTTTGCTCTCTCTCTGGTGTGCTTATTAGCAGTGCAGATCCATTGGAAATATTTTTGAAGAGCAAATGACTTAACAGCTCAAAAGTCAAGTTGAGATTGGGTGAACCAAAACAATGATCTCCACTGCCTTCAAGCTTCCGTCAATCCAATCTAAATATATAATTTACTCTGTGGACAGCCTCGAATACTTGTCTCCTTCTCACCCAGACTGAGGCTAACTGCAGAACCAAGTCGCGTTCGCAGAATCGTGTCGCGTTCAAGTTCTCCATCACCCTTTTCGTCGGTTGGTCACTGACCACCACCTGATGCAACACATCGAACAAGATCGGGCGCCAGCTGCAAGTGGCGACGCCTTACCGACGTATGACGACTTAGCAGCGCAGGAAGGTCCTAATTCCAGGTGTGTTTACTTCTTAGCTTCCACTAACTCGTTCACACTTCCACCCAGATTCGGTCGTTGGCGAGGATGGATCGAAAAGAGGTCGGTGTTCTCGCTTTAAGACCCTTTCTAATGCCCATACAGAGCGGCGGAGCGGTATCAAAGTATCACGCCTGAAGAGAGAGAACGACGACGGGCGCGGGGTTGGGGAAATGCTGAAATGGTGTGTCGCAATGACCGAAATCATACCTTGCTCATTAAAATGTCTTCTTAGGATGCCTTAGACCCAGAGCCGCCAACGCCCACGTCGGTCTCTGGACTTACTGTGCAGACAAACAATCTTCGACTCTCCACAATATCGACCCTCTCAGAACCACCACCCGACTCCCCTCCGTTGCCTCCAATACCTGCCGTGAGCACCCGTTTACGACCGACCCATTTGAAGATGAACCAGTTTGGTTCACGCTTCCTCCCACATTCCACCGTGCCGATTCGTTGTTTGCTCCCCCTTCAAGCTGATCGCTTATTGCTCATCGGGCACGAAGAGGGTCTTTCGGTCTTGGACCTATTTCCACAAGATTGGACGGAAGGAGGAGGCATTGATCTCAAAGGTCCTGAAGACGCTCGCGTCTACCATATCTGGCAGGGGGAAAGGTGTGTGTCACTCGCGACTTTTGTTTCGGTTGCCTAATTTACTTTGGAGCGTTTTCCAAATGTCAATTCTAGAGCTCGACAGCGCCAGCGGAGTCGTTCTCATGCTAGTTGCCCCAGAATCCGAAACACCCATCGGAAAGGACATGGAAGGTCACAGGACAGTCCGGATGTACAACCTCGCATCTCTCATAAGTCTGGCAAAGTGGTCGGTGGCGAATAAGGCGCGTTCTCTACCTGGCCCAAATATTTTCGCGCTCACACGCAGCAGGGAGCGACCCCTCTTCAACTGGGGAGTTTCACTGTTTCACAAACAACACCCAAGAAGCACAGACCAACAAGCAGCATCGCCCGCGGTTTCAAGTCGCTCATTCCTCCAAGCAACCAAGATGCCTCTGCACCTACACAATCATATCAGACTTTATTATCGCCCTCTTCGTCAATCAGAGCGCGGACACCACCCACCCGCAATGATTCAGACGACTCGACCTGGGAGCTAGTAGACGACCTACCATTACGATGGGCTCGGGATTTTGTTCCTCTTGCCGCCGCTGGCTCGCGACTGCTCAATTTATCCATATTGAGCTTTGCCTTGTGGAAGCGAGAAGAGGGAAACTTTGGGCAGTTTCTGGCGGTTGCAACCAAAGGCTGTATACTACTGTACGAGACACCGAAGAACGAGCGAGCGTTTCGATTCGTAAAGGTCAGCCGAATATTTTCGTTATAGGAGAAAAGCTAATAGGTCCCGACAGGAATTCTACACACCTCTACAACCAAAAGTGATTTCGTTCTTCCAGCAAACGGTGCATGAAATTGCACGGAGTCCGACAGATGTCCATGGCCGCCATCGACGGAACGGAAGTAACGGCAATAACGCTGCCATCCGCGCGAGTGGTGGCCGTACTGCTTCAGTGTCCAGTCCACGGATTACCAATTACGGCGCCCAGCTCAGTATTTTTGTTGTCTTTGAAAAGAAGGCTGGCTGGATTCGTTTGGCGGACTCGGCGGTGGGCGAAATGGAACTTGCAGACGATGCAGCATCGCCCCATAATGGCCATTTGAGAGCTGTTTCAATGGGCCCGACTGGTCGAAGGCGTTCTGCTCCCGAATCTCATGTTTACCACCACGGATGGATTCCTCCTGTGCGAGCCGAGTTGCCGTCAAGAAGCGTCTATCTTCTTACCAGGGGGATAACGACTCACATCATGCCTTGTCCGCTACCCGCCCAAGCATCTACGGTCCAGCCACTTGGATCCGTGACCTGGCACGACTCTCCCAGCCACGTATCACCTCGCTTGGGCCCGCACTGCTTACAATTAGTGGCATTGGGCCAGGGCAGCGTTGAAGTGCAAGAGGTACCATTATCGATCTTGGGCGGGGATGCATCTGGGAAAGGGAAGGGCAAAGCATCCGAGCCTGTTGTTCTCCGTGCGGAAGAAGACGCTGGCGGAGAGACCGGGTTTCTGTCCATTGGCGGGCATTGGGACGACGCGCGCACGACGAATTTGCAGAGGACATATTCGACTGCGAGCGATGCTTCTTTCCAGAGCGTGGATACTGACGAGATGGTGGACAAGCTACGGAGAGAGCAGGGCGTGTATGGGTGGTGTAGAAAGGGGCTGTCAGACTGGAGGGTGTTCTGGCTGGGAGGTGGGTTCGTTGATGAGCCTGAGGATTCAGAGGAAGGGAATGATATTGATATGCGAACCTAAGCATGGGCATAATAAATTGGCATTGTATCGAGATAAAATTGTATCTACCGCGGACACAACTAAACATGAATTCAAGCACTGATTCATTCAATTCTCCGTAAACCTGATTTTGGCACCAGATGAGGAATCACTGCACCGCAGGGATTCATTGGTTTTTTAAAAGGTCTACATACTTGAACAGTTATTGACCATGTGAAATTGAACCTCAACCATCTTGCCTACATAGTACAGAACCTTGACAGAACCTCGCCTACCGCACATGCAGTAACATACTTACATGCTTGCCGACTAAGTACTTATTAACCGCCGAGACCGCCTGTGTAGTTGAAGTTGCAGTTCAATGATGCAAGGGTTCTTTAAGTACCGGCCTGGGACTTAGTATGTAGGAGCATGCAGAGAAATCAGCGCGATCACGCATAATTTGTCAGCGCCGACTGTCTTCTCTCCAGACACCCATGTCTGCACACCCAGATCTGGTTGAATACAAGGCCAACTGCCACTGCGGTGCCTTTAAGTTCTCCTTCAAGGCTCCCAAAATCACCAAAGGCTCGGAATGTGACTGCAGCATCTGTTCCAAGGTATAGTATCTTCTGTGAAGTCTACCTTATTGACATGGTAGAACGGCTATATTTGGCTTCGCCCTAGCGAAGGGACTTTCAACGTCGACAAGGGCGACGAGAACACAACACTCACGAGCTATGTGTTCGGCACCAAGAAGCTTGTGCATAAGGTGCGGTTTCTTATTGAGCATCCAAGATAGCACTAAGCTGTCTCCTAGTTCTGCCCCACGTGCGGCACTTCCGTGTTTGCTAGATTCTCCTCCGAAGCCGACAACGGGCCCGGGGCTATGATGATCAATGTGCTTGCGGCCGCTTCTTGTTTCACAGCACGATTTTGACGCGGTTCAAGGTACGCGCGGTCCAGGATCTCGATATATGGTCGCTCCAAACGAGTGACTCTTTCAAAGGCTCCGAACTGGGCGACGCATACCAGCCACCATCGCATGTCGCACCGATTGGCCTCCCGACCGAAGACAGAACACTCTACCATGGGAACTGCCATTGCGGGTCCGTGGCGTTCGTCCTTGCCAACCCGGCTAAGGTCACAACAGCCCTCAAATGCAACTGCAGCATCTGCGGGCGGGTGAGTCCAAACTTGTTGTCACTTCAAGTTTATCCGATGTCTAGGATGCAGGATGGAGTGCTCTGGATTTACCCCCAGACGAGCGACATCGCCTTCCGTGGAGTACCCGAGTTCATGTCTGAGTACAGCTTTGGGCCTCGCAATGTCTACCATGGGTTAGTGCTCTTCGTGATTGAATGCAGACAATTTCGACTTTTGTAGGTTCTGCAAAGTCTGTGGCGTGGCCGTGTATGAGCGCTTTGTCGGGATCAGCGATGATGGCGAAGACAGGGCACTCACTCGCGCTCTCAATATTCGCACCTTCGCTAGCGGAGAACTCGACTGGGACAAGTTAGAGTTGGAATTAGATGATGGGCGGGCATTTCCACCCTTGTATGAAGTGCCTGCGTAATACTAGTACATAGCTTTCCTTGCCAAGCATGCATAAGTATGTCCATATTTGCAATTCAAGTTGGTAGTTGTGCCTGTGTGACTCCCTATTTCCGAGTCTGCCTGTTCCTCTTTCGGACAACAATCAATGCCAGTGGAGGATAAAAAAAAGTACAGCTTAGCAGCAGCAAAAGTCTTTTCATTTCTCTGTCAAGTGGACGAGTGGTTTGCTTGCTCACAGGACAACAACACCCAATCTCATCAAACCTTTGGTTCTTGAGCTGTGAAGTCATTTCAGAGTGCTTACTAAATATTTCCAATGGATCTGCACTGCTAATAAGCTCTAGCCATATCTCTTTTAGGCTTTTGTAGATCAAGAAACGGAGAGCTTGTCTACAAGTCGTTGGAAGGTATTCGTGATGAACGCAGCCGTCTTCCGTGGATCGTATGTCATTTCCAGTGCAAATCCCTGACCTGCAACACTTCCCTGGACCTCAGCAGCAAACTCAGCACCGTTCGCCGCCCTCCCAAACTCGCTCTCGAAGCGGATGTAGTGGATATCAACAAACGTCAGCGAATGCGACGCAATGTAGTCAGCAGCTTTGAGCACGGCTGCTCCCCCCTGTTTCGCTACCTCCAATGCGCCATTAGCCAGATCGAGCTCATGTGTTGATGACTGCGCAGCAGCAAGTCCCGCAAGGGCACTTTGGTAGGCAACCCATTCAGTTCCCTTCGCAACAGTATCGACACCGGCCTTCGCAGCATTGAGTGTGCCAATACTAGCAACTTTGTAGGCATCCAACGTCTTGGAAGCAGCCGCAATAGCAGCTGGACCAACTTGGCCGACTTGATTCAACGCTGATGAAGCTGTATGAACTGCTGCTTGCGTGCTCTGGTCGGTAGTAGCAAGCGTTTGTTGAGCAGTCACTATCCCAGCTTGACCAGAGGCCTGAGCGGCCGTAAGCGCCCCTTGAGCGGCTTGCATCACACCCTTGGCGGCAAGATAATTCTGGGACTGAAGAACAGCCTTAGCTGCCGTCAAAATGCCTTGCGCAGTTGCCATCGACGCCAGAAGCGTTCCCTTCGCGGTATACAATGCAGGTAGACCCGCCTTGCCTATCGCTTTAATCCCAGTAAGATGCTCGAGCTGGCTGATCTTGCTGTTCATGTCGTTGATTTGGTTCTGGATGCTGTTGACATTGTTTTGAGCAACATCGATCTTGTGTCTGGACGCATGTTCAGTTAGAAGGCCATGCTGAGATAAGCAAAACTCACTGAGCATCGCCGAACCGCGAATTCATATCCCTCGTAGCATCATCGAGTGTTCTCCGAGCTGCCGCAACCCGGTCCGTACAATCCTTCTGTGCTTGAGCGACCTGAGCTTGAGCAGCCTGCATTCTTGAGGCCCCGTTGGCGTTAGCATTCGAGAGTTGTTGTTGGGCATTTGCCAAATCGGTTTTATATTTGGCGGTCGCAGCATCAACCTGGCCTTGCAGTTCCTTCACCCTCGCCTCATACACATCTGTGGTCGCTTTGAATTGGGCATTCGCCACATCTGACTTGGCTTTCCACTGAGCATACGCTGCATCGACCTTGACCCGGTGGGCTCTGACGTTATCATCAACGACCTTTTTCGCCCTGTCAACCTTGTCTTGCTGCTCAGCAATATCGGCCTTTTCAGCTTTTGTTGCCTGCTCAAATTGCGAATTGATGGACTGAGCAATATAGTCTAGGATGTCTTGTTGCAGAACCGCCACAAGTTTGAAGTCAAGACGGGCCAAATCGTGAATATCGGCCATGTTCTCGATCATGTTCGCATCGACGGCAAAGTCGAGGTGAGGTGTGAACTGGAGAAGGAAGCGGAAGTGGAAAAACGGATCGGGCTTAAATTCGAATTGCAGATCGAGCAGAACCCTACGACACCGGTTTAGTCAAAAATCAGTGTCCGAGAAATGTGGGATAACATACTGGAAGTCGTATAGTACGATCTTCCCTTTGAACGAGCCAACTTGCTTCTGAGGACCGATTTGTACACTGGATGTTGCCTTCGGTCCATCAAGACCGGTCACGTGCAAGGGACCAAGAGCAAGATTATCCAAGGTCGCCGATGCAATGATGTTGCTGCTGTCGACTCGAACATCTCCTTGAGCATCTTGCCCAAATACGAGCATATCCGCACTGCGAGCTTTGTCAGTTAAGGGAGCATGCGCAATGGGGACTCATCCGACCTGAACTGACACCCTCTTTGATATACGATGTTTCCGATGGTTGTGCCCATGGGACAAAGGTAGAATTTGATGTGGCGGAAGACCATGAAGTCAGGAACCTAACAAATGTTAGCTAGTAGAGGAGTACAGCCTCGTGTGCCCACCATAGGAATCGGAAGTTGTGTTAAATCGCGTGCTAGCGACACAACATCGGTAATATGAAGATTATCGACTTCAGCATACAGAACTTCCTCTGTGGTTAAACGTAAGCCTGTCTTCGTCCGCAAATAAATAAGAGCAACTCACGCGACGGAATCTCACTGATTTCCAACGCCATATTGACCATGACATCACCGACTTTTAAGCCGCCAACAAAACCGAATGGGCTCACAATTAACTCCTCGATCAGTATCCCCATTGTCAATGCGACTTCTGGTCCAATCCGTACTTTGGGGCTCAACCCAAACGGATTCGTCCAATAGCCTGCTAGTTCCCCCGTTGCATATCCTTCAACGGCGTTGAATGCCAACGACAGAGTAAAATGGAGTGGTCGTGGATCATTTGGAGTTGGTATCTTGACGCCAGCATTGAGTTGGATAGTTGGAGGGAGGATAGAAGGGGTCGAGGTGGATGCGCGGATTTGGAGGCTGAATGGATCGGTCACAATCCCGCGGCCAAGGTCCAGACTCAGTGGCGCTGGAAGAACAACGTCGAGCGAGAATCCGGTAGCCTTAGACCAGCCGGCGGCAAGAATGAGACGAGGGGGCTGATTAAGCCGCATCAAGTCTGAAATTGCCTTGATCATGCCCAGCACGGCGCAAACTTGGATACCTAGATAGCTGTGCGTGAGCCATTGCTATAGATGACAATGAACAGAAGAGAACATGCCTTGTTTAACCGGAAATTGTGTTGTATTGAAACTGCCGAATTCTGGGTCGTCTTGTGAAGCGATAATGAGAGCAGCATCCTCAAGCGCAACATCTCCAAGAAAGGTATCTTCGAGCTCCGGAACAAGAGAACTCAGTGCCATACCCTTCTTGGCATTATGGTCGGTAACAAAATCAGCAAACACGGTCCACTGAAGGGAACTCGCTTGTGGTTGTGATGCCGATAGTATCGCAGGGCGGTATATATGGACGCCAGCATCAAGTGTGAATGATTCCCAACGCAATTCGCCTCCTAGGATGACACTGGACGACGAATTTGGTCCGGCCCGGAAGCTGACTTGAATGTAGACTTTCTTGATTTCGATTTCACTCAACTTCAACGTTTTCTCGCCCGACCCATTGTCCGTCATGTTGGCTTTGAGAACAATACCAGCAGAAGAGAACTGTACTTCGGCATTGACGCCGAAGTAATGCTCGACAGAAATATCGTGCACCACCAGATTAAATATGCGGCCAGAAGCGATGGTTAGCGTGGCATTGCCAATGTCAACGTTTAGTTGAGGTAATGACACGGGGCGTCCATAGAGTTGGCTGTAGAGATCCGATAGTCCTTTGGTACCAAAATTGGTCAGACTAGCGGACATGGAAAACGATTTGTCGGCGTTATAATATCCAATCAGGTCAACGGAGATGCCGCCGATAGAGAGGCCAGCGGAAACATTAAAGCTGAAAGTTTTCATTGGCAAACTTGGATTGAGCGTTGTGCCGAAACTAAGACCGTCAATCTGGGCCGGTATCAGTCTGACAATAATTCGAGGAATAAATGACATACTGAGAGTCCTTTGACACCGAATGCGTTATTCCAAACGTCTAGTTGTGTGGCCTTGAGGAAAAGTTCACCGCCTACATCGCCCAGATCAAATGATAGATCGAGTGTCTGATCCAACCCGACATGCATTGAGCCGAAAATTCTGAACCCATAGCACATCCCTCCGAAAGCCGTTGCTTTCTTCGTATAGCGGACGCCTTCGTAGCCGAAAAGCTCGACTCCGATTGCAGATAAGGTGAGTTCAGAGCATGGTTTGAGGACAACATCAGAGAAAGTTCCGATGAGGGAAAAGCCCGTGAGCCGAAGGGGGTCGTTGAAGGATTGTAAGGTACCGAGGCTGCCTTGAATATGCAAAGTAGGGTTTGGAACTCCAAAGACAGTGGAGAGGGCATCATGAACAGCGCCAAACGACTCGTCGAAAACGAGATCAGCGTCTATAAAGAGCAGGTTTCGATGGATCAATCGAGCAATTCTGTGAGGGTTTAAATAAACACTTGCTTTCTGCAAGCGCGCCATACCTGATAGGTGAACATAACGTTCTTGAACGGAAAAGCGTCAAATTCGGTCCCGATAAGCTCTGGGAGAACCGTAGAAAGACATAAATCGTCGTTTAGTATCGCTAGCTGGTATATTGGTATCGTTTCTCCGGCGGGCAGAACCAATCCGGAGGGTAGCACGCCATGGTAGCTGTAGAAATTTGCCACCAAACCAGTCGCGGCTCCGAAAAGGTGGTCGATTTTCCCGGTGAGCAGAAAGTCCTTTGGCGGGGAGTTGTTGTTGCTTAGAATAGATGGTGTTGATATCGCAGGGGAAGTGGATTGTGAGGCCAAACTGCCGCCGAACAAAGGGGGAGTGAGGCAAAGCGTGGGTTCAGAGACGACTGCCGCATGTATAGTGGCGGACGTGGCAGGTCCTGAAGCCGCATCCCAAGCAGCCTGATGAACATGATTTGTGGTAGTAGACATGTCGGTTTATGCTGAAGGTGGCAGCTTGGCCTGACCACGAATTTTAACCAACCACACAGTGTTATTTCTCTCCGACCATACCGGTTCTACCGGAGCGTGCCGTCGCGTACCTGGCCATTGAGAGACTTTCAACTACACAACTGAATAGAAAGAGTCTGACCAGTTTGTCCCTAGCCTCGTGTGATTAAGATCTCTTGATTCTACCACTAGCCATCGTCGGCAACTTTTCAGCCACTACAAAAAGCCGACGAAGTTCATTGGAAAAAAGGATGGGCCGTGACGTTGCGCAAGTGAGCAGGGTTGACTCGTTGAGCAGAGAAAATGTTGTCACGCTGAGTAATCAAACCCCGTCACTGGCTCGGACCCACTGAAACTGGAAGGGACTTGCCAGTGGAAGGGTCAAACATCGCAGCATGTTGATCCTCGTGCTCACAAGCTCCGTCTCCGTCGCCAATGACGCCTCTGCTCTGACCCTGTGCCTTAGCCTACTCCGCATCAAGCATAATTCAAAGTCCTCTAAAATTCCCAGTTCCAAGTACTAGATTATATTGTTGGTAACCGCTACTTATTTGAACAGGTCCGTGTGTTGGAGTAAAATTTACCTGTGACTCCTCGCCGGCATGCCATCTCCAACGCATTTCCGTGGTATCCTGTTCCAGACCGCACCCGTCATCTTCAACAACATTGACCAAGCCCGGCGAGTAGCTCTCATCGATAGCATTATCACCGCGTCTAAAGCAGGCGATGCTGTAAGCATCGCGACTGCTCTGGCCAACTTGAACGCATTCGATGCAGAGTTTACTGTCGCATCCCCAGGCCAAGTTGCCACAAAACAACGCGTCACAGATTGGCTTGCTGGCGTCCAGGAGGCGCTGACGAAATTCATCTCGGAGCCACAACCCGTTTCGGCCAGCGACACTGTTTTCATCGCATCTATTCCCGAATTCGGGCTGAATGCCTTCACGCTTCCCCGAATGAAGGAAGGCATTGACCAGACTGTCGGCAGCTTTGCCTCGGCCGCCAATGTTATTCCTGCGACACTCGAGGCGTACATCGTTCAGGCCCTTCGCACTCTGCTCACCACCCACTTTAACACCAGACGTGTTCTGTTCGTCATTTCATGCTGCACATATGGTGTCGTCGATAACATGGTCCATCGAGTAACTCTTCACCGAGATGGGCCACTGAACAATCCTGGCCACGAGAAGATCGGCGGTCTCTCCCAAATCACTGTCATCCCTTCTCAACTCGGACTCGCTATCAAGAATATCCCGAAAGAGCGACGCGTTCAGGTCGATCAATGGGATTTGGATAAATTCGCCAACCTTTTCAACGTTAACTACGCGGCTGACAATCGTCAGGCTCGCCTTCGCTTTGATATGGCGTTTCCAGGTGATCCGCTTCCAGCTGCAACGCTTGGGTTTAGCACTTGTGCGGACGGGCAGCACGAGGACCATCCTAACGTGAATCTCTGCATGTACCTCGGAGATTCGTTTCCATTGTAAGCTCCCTTGTCTGACCGTCACAATATCCTGACTCGCCAATCGCGCAGGCAACAAATTCGAGATACGACACACTCCTTCTTACTTAACGACACTCGAGGGTGGATCAGAGACAGCCAGCGCGACACCCTCTTCCGCACGGGATTCTACCTAATGCACGATAACGCCAACCCTCCATCGCCCGCGGACGTTAACCAATTGAACAACATCCTCAAGATTGCGTATACAAAGTGGGAGGAAACGTCGGTTTCCCGCAACTGGTTCTTCGGGCTTGTCAAAGGCGCCAAAAAGATCGTCGTCACCCCCAGGCTGATGGCAAGCTATCCATCCGAAGACCATTTCAAGAACGCGAGCTGGTCTAATTGCGAATACGACCCGTCGGTCTTGAGCTCGAAGCACTTCTTCCCCAGCGTTGACCATTCCGCGCATGTACCTGGTCGCGACCCAACGCTGACCTTGGATGATTTGGGCCCTGTTATTTGTCGCGCTACTATACCCATACCAATCCCAGCTCGAGCCTAACGTCAGTAGATGATTTACCGCTATGCTCGAGAATAGTATTAATGAGTGTTGGTATAAGCAAGTGCTAAGAACTTGTAATATTTTAATTATAAGGTAGTAGGTATATTACAACTCGCATGGCTTCCCTTCAACGCAAGGAACTGGCATTTGTAAAACTGGTGGCCGACCGATGAACCCCAACTTGAATGACACCTTTCTGCTGGCAGAATCAGAATATGCCACTGGGTTAACTTCCGGAAGGCTTCTTTGTGGATCACCAACACCGGCATCACGACAAGCCTCGGCCTCCGGCCAGAGTCTGCCCTCCCCTCGACAATAGTGACTGGCTGAGTTTGCTGGTAGAGAATGCGAACAAGCACCGCTCTGATCCGGAAGAGTCCTCACCAATCGTTGCCTTCCATTTTTCGTGGTCAAGATATCGTCGAAACTAATGTCGGGTCCACTAGTAGCTTGACACGGCGCGGAGAGTGGAACGATAGCCAGAATAACGGAGAGTATCTCCATAACCATCGCGCGTTCGTTGACGGATACCCCTGCATTATCGAATACGTGACGGTGAAGTTGGTTCAGTGCTTGAGCTGAGCAAAAGGGTCGATCGATTGGCGCCGTTGTTGCAAGACGATGGATAAGTTCCAACCACTCTCCAGCGTGTCCTTCTGAGTCACGGATAAGCGTGTCGATGAGCTCTCGTGTTCTGCTTGTGAGCTCAGGATGAGCGGAGGTAATACTGTCCAAAATGTCGCAGTGGAATGCCGTCTCACTCTCGGAGAGACTCTGCTCGTTTCCCTTTGTTGGAGGGCACTTTGTGAAAGAGCGGGAGGACGAACGTTGGTTGCGGTCCGGGTCAACCCGACTCTTGTGTACTTGTCTCTTCAACCGACCGCATAGCATATAATTGATGTTGGCGCGATTGACGAGAGCGCGCTGGAACGCAAGAATAAGATCTACATCGAGATAATTGGCGTCTAAATAGTTGAAAAGGCGTTCCGGCCGTTCGAATAATGGAGCCTGGTTGATCTGCACGACTTCGTAGGCGCGCATACGATCCGAAAGGTCGGAGATGATGTCGCTGATACTACTAGTAGAAGCCAGCGCCGCTTCAACATCGGAGCGGCTATATTTTGGCTGGAATGTATTTCTGAACCAACTGCAGCTGGATCTGCTTCAGTCGACGATAATCGAAGAATAAATTAGCAACACACTGGGAGACCATGCTTCTGCCAGTGAGGCTGGTGTTGAATATTAAAATAATGGAAGAACTTGGAAACTTGAAGGAGTGGAGGCGGCGTTGCACAAGCAAATGTCGTTGTCAAGCCAGGGTCTTAAATATGAAGTCGCGCGGGAGATTGGCGCTGCGTGAACGTCAAAGAGCGCGGCTGGGGCGGAGTTGTTGGCCAAAGCACCAAATATAGTGAACTTGGAACTTGAAAATATGAAGAAGCACTGACCAAGTTAAAAATCGCCCGACGCCGTGAATGATGACTTTCTTGGAACCTGATTTCTCTCCGTCTAAGCGATGCCTCACCAACAGTGTCAGTTGTTACAGTTACTGATAGGTTGCGCAAGCCTGAGGCTCCTAGTAACTCACTGGCAAGCAGCGCCGTTGAAAGTAGATCAAGGGCCAGGGCGATTGCAGTCCATTCTCCACTGATAGCGAGGCTATGTTCAGTTATAGTTAGGAAAATCAGCTGGATATACGTATGAGATCGCAAGTGGAGAAGCATTGAGGCGAAGAATACCGATTCGGAGTATTTGAGGAAACTTGAAAGGTAGCCGTCCGACGTCAGTATCTGTTGGCGACTCGTATTCTCGTCAGTTACCAGGAGAAATGAAGCGCTCAGAGCAGGTTCGAACGCTTGGGAGGGACCAGGGAGGAGACCCCAAGTTCCTTGTTGAGTGGCGGACAAAAACCAAATCTTGCAATTGATCCGAAGGTTCGATCCGATCGCCATTGGCTTTTGAAAATCTGTCGCTTCTTTCCTTCTTCACTTGCTCTCACCACCTAGCAGCAGTATTACTTCCCCTCCTTACTTCCAGTATGTGGCAGGCGTCGACCAGCTCTATTTCGAAGCATTGGCCGGTTCCAAATTTTCTTACCAAATGGGATCATTCGCGGGCTGTACAGCAAGCAAGCAATTTTGGCAAACAGCTCTCTTGACCACCCACGATGGGATCGTGTTCCAGAGCCTCTACCTCGACCCTTTTCAACATAACAGAAAACGTTCTACAAGCGACTCATTCCGTGTCCCCCGTATTTCCCCCACTGCAAGCCGCTTCTGCACTTGTAATCTATATTCAAGATAGTCTCCACCTAGTTGGTCATTTCCTTCTGCAGCGAACGGCGCTGACGCTATCAAAAGTTTAGGAGCAACAAAGAGCAAATTAGATCCCTTGCAGAGTATTGCACTCGACTGTCGCAAGAGCTATCATCGACCATCGATGGTAGCAAAACCACGAAATATGTCGAGTGAGTGGTTGCCCAACCCCTCCAACGTCCTCTAACTTCTCAGAGTCATTAAAAATATTCAGCAATATCTCGAGTCTGTAGCCCGCAAACCCTCAGTTGTGCGATACCTCGAGCGCAAAACTGTCGCGGCCAATCTCCAGTCATTTCGTGATGAATTGTGGCAGGAGTTCCTGGTATTCAGCGTGCGTCTATGGTCTCAACTCGCTCGCATTTCGCTAACAGTTACCGCATACAGATGTCTGCAACAATCGACCTCCAGTCCCACCAACAAGCGTTCGAAGTAGCACGCAAACAAGATGAGCGAGATACGCAGGAGCTGATAAAAAAGCTGGCAGAGGACGTTCATAACACAGCAGCGGGCACAAAACAGCTTGCTTCGGCTTTAAGTTTGCCTTCTCGTCAAGGACCAGACAAACAACGGCAGATTCTTCAAGAACTGCAGGTCCGTGTCAGTAGTATCAATCCGCTCTTGTGGTTTCATGTGCACTCATTTTGTCATAGGTATTAGACTCTAATCGGCCAGAAGCAGAGGCTGTTGTCCTGAGGGAAAGCATCCGTCTCGCCCAAATATGCGTGGCGCCAAAGTAAGCTTAATACACCCTTGGCACCCGTTCTCATAGCCTCCACAGCTATCGGTGGTACTCCAACACCTTCAACGAGGAACATGCGCTGTCCGAAATCAAAGACGCGTTGTCGCTGTGCGTGGACGACATTGCGCGGGACCTTTCGGAGTCTGGCCTTCTCCCCCGCATGACGACAATCGATATAAGGCATGCCCGCAACGAGTTCGAGAAGGTAACGCATCTCTTTCGCGCCTTGGACAGTCGCGCGGGGGATGTTGTTCTCATTCGTGCCTTCCAACTCGCGTTGGTGAGTCCTCGGACGGATGGAAGAATGGATTCGTTCGTAAAGCCAGGGCTGCTGGCTCAAATATTCGTCTAAGTTATGATATAGTAGTAATGTAAATGAGCACCATTCTTACTTGAGAAGGAAAGACGATTGCTTAGAGTATTTGAAGAGCACCAAGATAACGGTGTGACTTGAAGCTCGTCATACAGCGACCACCCATATTAGCCTCTGCCTTGCATCGAGAGGAGAAAAGAATGGAGCATATTTTCTGGGGCTGTGTGGACATTGCAAGCGAGATCGAAAAGCTGTGAGGTGGTTTCTTCAAGCGGCCGTAACGTGGTTTCTTACTCTCATAAGTAACAGCGGCGCTACTTCCATTACTCGCTCTATGGGTCCCCAGTTGACAAACAACTCATCGCCCGCATCTGAAACACACGCAACTCTTCCCTTCTCGTACCTGTCCGACAGCTATGTAGCCAGTTCATCTTAACAGCATAAAGCGTCTTTGGTTCTCTCTTATAGCTTGCCTCCCGACTCCACTCCCTCAACTCGCATTGAATGTACGCTCTCATTCGTACTTGCAACTTGAATCTGATTCTAACTTTTGTGCAGGTGGTTTTCAGAAACCTTCATCCCCTCTTACCCCCGTTCCGCCGTTGCACTTGCCTTGACCGATGGCATCGACGACATCGTTCAAGACCTTTCCCCCCGCGTCATTTCCAGCATCCGCGCACGACTCTGCAGCGAAATGCGGCCACTTAACAAAGTCCAAATCCTCTTCTCCCATCTTGATGCCCAATGCGGCAACATCGACCTCGTTCGCGCCTTCCAAGAAGCCCTGTTGTTACATGGTCGCATCGAATACATGGTCAACGGCGACTTATTGGCGTGTCATGGCGACATTGAGCTAGACGAAGAGGCCTACGAAGTTGGTATTTGGGAGCCTGACTGTGACCACATCCGCCCTTCAATCGCGCATCCCGCCACTCGGAGGAGCGACGAGGACGGAGCAAGTTCTCCCGAATATAGCACCATTATTGTCGACTCCGCCGATCCACCTGATGACGGCCGGTTGGGAAAAGAAACAGCTTCGGATGCGGACGAAAGAGACCCAACTCTTCCTGACATTACGGCGCCAAGAACTCATCTCGCGGCTCCTTTGCCACCGCTCAATATCCACGAGCATAACCGGGTTTCTTTGCGTCCTCGTCGACGATTTAGACCATTTCTATGGCATAGAATGATGAAGTACAGAGGAAATTATTGAATCTCTTCAAGGGGGGTGGCTGCTGCTCACCCGCGATTTATCTACGCGCTCGTGCTGTTTGCGAACGATGTATCGAGGTCCAAATTTGGGCTCCAGGCAAACTACAAATCATACTCGTGACCTTGACATGTGAAAGCAAATTTTTTGGTGGACGTTCCCGGCGTGCGTCAGAGTGGCGGCTCCACGGCTTCCTGTCATAACCAGTGCTGTACGTTCTATCAGGTCAGTACCTATAATTATCAGACCTGCCAGATAGCCTATAGGCGCCTGGTGGGGCAGGCCTCCGATTCGACCGGGAAATATTATGGTTATCTTTAACTCGAAGTAGCATCACCTACACTGACCTCTCAGCGGGAAGCATCTACCAAACCTGAGTCAAGAGTCAAGACTAGCGCCCGTCATTGAAAGGGCGTCTATACTAACGACAGCTGGCACTTTATTCGGCCTAGCAAGGAAGTGGGGATTGGTTGTGGATATTTCTGGCGGGTGGGCAGTGGCGTTGTTCCAGCAAAAGGAAAGCCCAAAGCCTCAAACCTCTCTATTGGGCGTCTTATTGTATTCTTTGCTCCGCGCTCCGCCCGACGACGCCTTCACGGGCCTTGTGACGGTCGACATTTGGAGACGCTGAAGAGTATAAATGTCGATGTGCAAGAACGGCAGCAGTTCTAGTGCTTGCCTGCCCTTATGTGGTCACCTCACGGTCACACACGACAAAATACTAGTAGTCTTCCGCCTCCAGTTTACGCAGCGGCTGGAAATCCTACTTCGCAGTGCGTGGCCAGACTCGAGCCCCACACCGCCTGTTTGAAAACTTAATTTGTTTAGTTGGTGGAACCAGACCTTCATAACTGGGCCGGCTCGCTCTGTGGTCGCCTTCGCCTTGACGGATTGCACAGACGACATTATTGAGCAGTTGGCCCCCATGCTAGCACGCACTCCCGACGTAAAAATCCAGCTGCGCACAGTTGAAGACAGTAAAATGGACCAGATTTACACCTTATTCCGCCACATCGAATCAAGGGCCGGGGACACGGCCCTCGTCAGAGAATTTCAAACCGCACTCTGGCTCCGCGCAAAGTCCGCGCGGTACATTATGCATCCCGGCCTCCCGGCGCTAATCCAGGCTGACCGCTATCGCGACCACCAATCATCATCAGCTCGTCGTGCCGAACAGGAGTTGCTGGAAGCCTCACCCTATAGCACCACCTGGTTTCCCGAAACATTCAACCCAGTATACCCCCGTTCGGTCGTCCAATTCGCCCTGATCGACAGTGTTGGCGACATCGTCAAGGACCTCGAACCTTTCCTCATGCGAAACTACGCTGTCCGTGCACAGATCCACGCGGCACGGAAAACTGTAGACCAAATCAATATCCTCCTCAGCTGGCTGGACGCTCAACCCGGAAATGCGGCCCTCATTTCTGCTTTCCAAGGGGCTGTTTATACTCATTCCGGTATAGAATGGGCACTGAATGCAAGACTCATCGCACGACTTGGAAAATGAGACCAACATCCGACTTTGTTCAGAGCTTTTAACCTTCGGAGGCTTTGTGTAACAGCGCTACCGTGTCTAGCCTCAGACTCTACTAGTAAGTAGTAGACTACGTAGTTGGTTGTCTCCATGAAAACCAGCAGAAGTGCTTGCTTTATTAGTGCAGCCACGCAACAGTACTTACTAACTACTGGTTCTATTGTAATAGCACTGAATTTGACACTGTAATCCGCGAAAGAGCCTGATCCACGTGAGTGTGATGCACGTGAGTATGACGTCACATTCTGGAATTTCTGCATTAAGTACTTATCTCCCGCTCGTTGCTGCTCGAGTGTATATAGGAGATTAAAATCAGCGCTATGTTCGCCCTATGGCACCTACACTGGTTCTACAGTAGCTCTTTCTCTCCTCACGAGAGTAGATGATCCAAGAATGTCAATGGCTTTAAGACCATTGGTTCGCCGGCGGTGCCCCCTCACTGGCAGGCTGCCACATATCATTCTAGCCTCTTCCAAATCCATCAACTAACGCTATTTATATGCACAATCTATCATCGGTCCTCGCGGATTCAGAAGGTTGCCACACAGGCTCCATCATTGACCGCTTCCTCCCATGGCTGCAGCTTACTATGACCCCCCTGCGTACTCCCCCTCTCAGGGCGTAAAACCCTCGCACGTAGATTCAGAAATGGCACAGAATCCACAACCACCAATCAAGTGGGTGCTCCCCTGTTTGTGTCCGTGGGTACTGACGGTGGACAGATGGTTTTCAGAAACATTCGTCAGTGGCCAGCCGCGGTCCACTGTCGAACTGGCGCTGGCGGGGTCGATCGGTGACCTTGTGCAGGAGCTTGTGCCGTATTTAGCCTCCGGGGACATCTTTGCCGAGCTTGTGGACGAGTCCAGTCGACTTCAAAAAGTCAAGATATTATTCCGCTATTTGGACGCACATTCGACCAATCGAAAACTCATTGATGCATTCCAGAAAGCGGTTGTGAACCGCGCAGGCATCGAATATCTGCTTAACGGAGATTTGGCTCGCTGAGAAGAGATACATGTAGTACAAGTTTTCCGCTTGTTCGAAGTAACCTTACTCTGGAACCACATACAATGGCAGCTGGCCCGACCTGTCCACCTTCTCGATCTGCAAGGTGCTGACATCAAGGTCATTGATGGTCCGAACATTGAGGGCCGTCCAAAGATTGCGGTCTTTGCCGTAGTATTCTGGCTTATCGTGCAACGGCGGGTCGTTTCCGACAAAGCGTTCGAATAAGGAGACACCACAAACTTTGCAGAACCTACGAGCAGAATAGTCAGCAGGGTACGAGACGGTATGAAAGAGTCGTTTACCCGTGATATGTAAGCTTGGCGGCGAATGTATATTCGCTGGCTGAGTCTAAACCGCGGAAAGTGATGTTCTTCGTGGGAGGGTAGATCCAGAGGCCGGCATCCTGTTAGAGCATAAGCGGGGGGGAATTGAGAGTGAAGAGGAAACATACCCTCCAACAGATGCTGCAATTGCACTCGCTTGCCTCGCTTATCTTGTCTGGCGAGACGAGGGCGAAGGCGACAGCTCCACAACGGCAGTTTCCGTGGTAAACAGACGACCCCGCAGGGACTACTTCAGCGGCGACGGGAGTTGGGGGCTTATACGGCTCTCCAGCTGCTGATCCATGACGCGGTTCACCGATGGTGAGTGAAGGAAAGTCGATGCCTTGCACCGACCTGATCTACAAGCATTTTGAGAGTGGAGATGGGGGAAATGGCAGCTCACGTTGACCAGGACGACATCGCCCTTTTCAGGATTAAGCCTTGCGAGAACAGAAGTACCGCAGTTGGGACAGAACTGAACAATGCTCGTTATCGTCGCTTCGAGAATCGGAGCACCTTGTAAGACCTACCTTGTGTGAGAGACTTTTTGGTCCAAATTCGTACCCCGTTAAAGTGGTGTCAAAGTCTCCTTTGAGCACTTTGAAGTCTTGCGATTTAGCCCACAGGTAGCCATTCTGTCCGAATTGATTCCCAAGCATCCGGTTCAAGCAAGGGTTCTTACCTTGGAACAAATGCTGCAATCACAGACAGATGCCTGCTTGATTTCGGGGGACTTGAAAGAGAACTTGAACGCGCCGCAGTGGCAGTTGCCACTATACTCCAAGAGTTTCGAGTCTGCCATAGTAGCGTCTCAAGATCAGCATTCACGTGTTGTCACGGGAGTGTCACATCTTTTGACTCCGACAAGCACTTTGGACGCGCGTCGGGGTCGATTACCCATCGTTCTAGCACCTTCGGTCGTGCTCGCGGCTATATGACTATTCCCCCCATAACAAATCCTCTCTTTCAACGACTACCATGGAACTCACCTTTGTGACTGACCTCGGGCAGTCATTCGTCATTGAAATCGACCCAGGGATGGAGCTCGAGAACGTTATGGCGCTGTTAGAGGCAGAGGTGAGTAGTAATTCTCACTAAACAGCATCTTGATGACTCTGCCCATAGTCGGGAATACCGGTGGCAGAACAAAGCATTTCTTACAATGGGAAGGATCTTTCTGCACCCAAATCGACGCTCCGTGAACTCGGGGTCACTGAAAACAACGCGATGCTTCTTCTGAGACGCAAAATTCCGAATATGGCTGGGACCGGGAGGTAGCTACGCTCTCCCGTTTATCTATGATACATCTCAGTCCTGTTCAGACCAGTCGAGCAGGACTCTGAAATGATGCGTCTCCAACTATTAGGAGACCCCGACCTCATGCGCCAACTCCGTGAAGTGCGTAGTTACTTGACCAGATGCCCTAGATCTAACATCAAGCAAATAGACGCAACCCGAGCTCGCGGCCGCTGTACAATCTAACCCCGCTCGATTCGCTGAGCTTCTGCGCCAAACACGGGAACGTCAATCTGAGGCAGAACTCCAGCGCCAACGCGAGATCCAACGACTTAACGCTGATCCCTTTGATGTTGAGGCACAACGCCGGATAGAGGAAGCAATCCGCCAGCAAGCGGTGATGGAGAACATGGAGCATGCACTCGAGTACTCCCCAGAGAGTTTTGGACGAGTTACCATGCTTTAGTGCGTGCCATGAAGCTGCTTGTTTCCACACTAATCAATCCTCAGTGTCAATGTCGAAGTCAACGGGAAACCTGTGAAAGCGTTCGTCGACAGTGGAGCCCAACAAACCATCAGTGTGTTATTTTCTCCTCATCGCTTCACATTGACCAATGCTTCCTCATAGTGTCTCCCGAATGTGCCGAGTCATGTAACATCATGCGACTTCTCGACACTCGTTTCTCTGGCATTGCTCGTGGTGTTGGAACCGCCAAAATCCTTGGTCGGGTTCATTCCGCCCAATTCAAACTCGCCGACCTGCATCTTCCATGTTCCATAACCATCATGGAAGGCCGGGATGTCGACTTGTTGCTTGGCCTGGACATGCTTAAGGCCCATCAGGCTTGCATCGACCTGGAAAAGAATGTACTGCGTGTGCGCGGTCGCGAGGTCCGCTTTTTGTCAGAACACGAGCTGCCAGAGAAGGCGAAGGAGCTTTTCTCACCAGACGAAGCCCAATCTTCTTCGGGTCCGTCAACAGGGAGTGTACCTGGCCGCGCCCCTTCCGCCCCAGCCTCATTCCCCGGCGGTGGTAACACAATTGGTTCGGCTCCACGCGCGAGCCAACCTAGTCGACCGCCGGCCCCCGCTGCCTCCCGACATCCTGAATCGAGTATTCGCACATTGATGGACCTGGGGGCAACCCGAGAGGTTGCGATCAGTAGTCTGGATGCTGCAGGTGGTAACATTGACGTGGCTGCGTCTTTACTCTTCTAGACTATTTGTGTCGATGGACAAAAAAATCCGAACTGTAAACTAGCAGACTTCGTGCTTGAGGAAAGCGATGTATTATGCAGGCACTTCATACAAGGGTGGAAATGCCCGCCCATCAAATAATTCAAACTCCAACTTGTCCCAGTCGAGTTCTCCGCTGGCGAAGGTGCGGATGTTGAGGGCGCGAGTGAGTGCCTTGTCTTTGCCATCATCCCTGATTCCGACAAAGCGCTCATAAATGGCCACACCACAGACTTTGCAGAACCTATTCAAGTCGAAATTATCTTCATTCACTGACGAAGACCACTAACCCATGGTAGACATCATTGCGAGGCCCAAAGCTGTACTCAGACATGAACTCGGGTACTCCACGGAAAGCGATGTCGCTCGTCTGGGGGTAAATCCAGAGCACTCCATCCTGCATCCTAGACATCAGATAAACTTGAAGTGACAACAAGTTTGGACTCACCCGCCCGCAGATGCTGCAGTTGCATTTGAGGGCTGTTGTGACCTTAGCCGGGTTGGCAAGGACGAACGCCACGGACCCGCAATGGCAGTTCCCATGGTAGAGTGTTCTGTCTTCGGTCGGGAGGCCAATCGGTGCGACATGCGATGGTGGCTGGTATGCGTCGCCCAGTTCGGAGCCTTTGAAAGAGTCACTCGTTTGGAGCGACCATATATCGAGATCCTGGACCGCGCGTAGCTTAAACCGCGTCAAAATCGTGCCGTGAAAGAAGAAGCGGCCGCAAGCACATTGATCATCATAGCCCCGGGCCCGTTGTCGGCTTCGGAGGAGAATCTAGCAAACACGGAAGTGCCGCACGTGGGGCAGAACTATAGGAGACAGCTTAGTGCTATCTTGGATGCTCAATAAGAAACCGTACCTTATGCACAAGCTTCTTGGTGCCGAACACATAGCTCGTAAGTGTTGTGTTCTCGTCGCCCTTGTCGACGTTGAAAGTCCCTTCGCTAGGGCGAAGCCAAATATAGCCGTTCTACCATGTGAATAAGGTAGACTTCACAGAAGATACTATACCTTGGAACAGATGCTGCAGTCACATTCCGAGCCTTTGGTGATTTTGGGAGCCCTGAAGGAGAACTTAAAGGCACCGCAGTGGCAGTTGGCCTTGTATTCAACCAGATCTGGGTGTGCAGACATGGGTGTGTGGAGAGAAGACAGTCGGCGCTGACAAATTATGCGTGATCGCGCTGATTTCTCTGCATGCGGCGCCAAGTATCCAACGTTGACCTGGATCCTACATAGAGCAATCTGGTAAAGAACCCTTGCATCGTTGAATTCCAACTTCAACTACACAGGCGGTTTGTAACTCGTCGGCAAGTATTTACCGTTGACCCTTCCAATCCGCAACTTACTCAGGTCGATATCGGCACCCATCGTCCTCACGTTCGGCGCAATGGTATCGCTCCCAACGAACCGTTCGTACATGGATACCCCACAGGTTTTGCAAAAGCTAATGAGCAAATGAGTTGATTTGTGAATCAGAGACAATACAGACGGACCCATGCATGACCGCCTTGGACGAGAAGCCGTATTCGGTAATCGCGTCTGATAGCCCACGGAAGGTCAGGGCCTCTCGCTCTGGGTAGGTCCACAATGCACCATCCTGTAGTTCACTGAGCCGGAATTGTAGAGGGATCTAAATCGACACACACCCGCCAGCAAATGCTACAATCGCATTCGGTCGCCTGATTCAGGTCGCGAACGCTCAAGAGCGCAAAGGCGGCCGCTCCGCAGTGACAGTTGCCGTGGTACACTTTGATACCGGCAGGAATGGGGTCGAAGTCCGGTTTCACCAACTCTGGCACTTTATATGGCTCGCCCAGCTCCGATCCCTTGAACACTTTGCCTGGTTTGAGGGCATCGAAGTTGATTCCACGCTGGACAGCACGTATCTAGAGCGAAGATTAGCGGGTTACATCGATGTCAGATATTTATACGCACGTTCACCAAGACACTGACAGTCTGAGCGACTTTGGGGTCCTTGGTGCGAGCCATTACAGAGGTTCCGCAGGTTTTACAGAACTAATCATCAAGCTTCAGGATGGGTAGCCTGAGAGAGGGCAGACATACCTTGTGCGTGATCGCCTTCTTTGCGAACTCATAGCTCGACAAACTGGTCTCCTCGCTGCCATGAACAACTTCGAAGCGGTCTTCTGTCAGAGGCACCCAGATATATCCATTCTGGGCTAATGTCAGGATGGGAGGCGGTCAAGACTTCAGTCTTACTTTAGAGCAGATACTGCAGTCGCATGTGTTAGCCTCCTTGATTTGTGGTGTCCGGAAGCGGAAGATGAACGACCCGCAGTGGCAGTTGCCTGTGTATTGCACGAGTTCAGGCGCGTCCGTCATGGGAGAAGAGGGCAAGCCCTTGAGATCTATATCGAGACGATTGGTAGCATGCGAGGCGCATGATCGATTTTGAGAAGCTCTCAACCTTGAAAAAAACAAAACACGTTGAGCTTTGGTAAGTGTTGCTTGGGATAAACTGGCTGTCTGAGATGTGCTTGAGTATTTGAGAACCGTCGGGACCCTCGAGCGGCCCACAGAACGTGTGGTTTGTATGAGAAACATGAAGATGCTTGTCAATGTTGGCTGTCACAGTGACAACCGTTTTTGGCGCCCGAACCGTTGCAACATTGCATTCCGCGGTGAACAAAGTAAGTTATATACGGCTCATTGAGACCGACGTCGCGGTTGATTGCTGCCAGTAGATGGATTAACGGTCTGATCTCGTTTGGAGTGTTTCTTGAAAGTTGACAATGTGCAGCATTGTGCTCAGCCTCCGCCGTGCAACTGAACCTTTCAACTTGATGCAAGAATCTACTCTATGTACCGCGCTGATTTCCAGAGATTGACCTGCATATATAGCTACAACTCCAACCCTGAAGCTAACGCACTATCTACGCGTGGCGTCTGTGGCAGATTCATGATTCTCGGAGGTCTCGGCGGCTGCCTTCCATAGCCAGTAACGAAAGCCCGTCGCATGACATTTCGAAGGTCGTTGCCGGGATCATTGTGGCCCTGGAATCATGTCAGCAACCGCACGTATAAAAGTAAACCTCTGTCGTCAGCAAGATGCTCCCGCTCCTCCATGTCGTTCTTGCGGTGGCTATCGGGAGCGAGTGTGCTCCTCAGTTCGCTCCTTGCCACACATGGCCAGCATGTGTCAAGCCGGGCATCGACTGCCATTGCGCCTCGCGTATTGATCCTGAGCATGGTTAGTGGTCAAAACTTAAAACGTTGACGTATGAAAGCTCATCGTAATACAGTTCGATGACGAGGGTGGAGCGTGGTACGACATACCTGAGTTCAATGTGCTCGCAAAGAACATCACCATCCCAGGGCTTTCGCCCCTGTTTCCCCAACTTCATTGTACCACCAACCATGACATTTGCCAGTTGACCACTGGCGAGGGCGAAAGCAACGCTGCAGTCTCGCTGACCGCCCTCACCTACTCGCCCCTGGTCAATCTTACAACCACATATATCCTGATTGCTGGCATTGCAGGAATCAATCCCAAGATCGCCACCGTTGGCTCGGTGACTTTTGCGCGCTATGCCGTCCAGGTCGGGTTGCAATACGAAATTGACCCCAGAGAAGTACCTCCAGGATGGTCAACGGGCTACTTTCCCCAGGATTCGACCGCGCCCGGCCAGTTTCCTGGCGTCTTTTATGGCACGGAAATATACGAGCTCAATGACGCGTTGCGGCAGCGCGCCTTCAACGTGGCCAAAACAGCCAAGCTCAACGACTCCATGGACGCATTACCTTTGCGACAACAATATGCACAAAATCCTGATTTTGTTTCTGGTGGCGGAAGTCCCCCCAAAGTGGCGCTCTGCGACACCGCCACAAGCGACACCTACTGGGACGGCACTTTGTTAGCAGAGGCCTTTGAGAACACGGTCAAGGTCTTCACCAATGGCTCCGGCCTCTACTGCAGCACACAGCAAGAGGACAACGCGACCCTCCAGGCCCTCCTTCGCGGCGCACTCACCAAGCGCGTCGATTTCTCCCGCATCATTATTATGCGCACCGCCTCCGACTTCGACCGGCAAGGGCCGAACCAGACGGCCGTCGACAGTCTGCTCGGGCCCGAGCCCGGCTACGAGCCATCCATCCTCAACATCAAGATCGCCGGCATCAAGGTTGTCGACATGATCTTGAACGGCTGGAAGGATGAGTTCGAATGCGGGATAACGGCGAAGAACTACGTTGGCGATGTATTTGATTCGCTCGGGGGAAAGTTGAAGCCTGATTTTATACCGAAACCGTCGTCGAAAAAGCTACGTCGCCAGCTGCGCAGAAATGTATGATATAAATGGTTGACACAACTGACAAATTCATTTTTATTTTCATGTCCAGTACTGACTGTACTGTAGACATACTTACTTAGCTAAACAGCCTGCAAGCAGGAAGCACGGTAGACGACTCGGATCATAAAATCTCAGTTCTGTTCATGAGTGAAAGGCTACCAGCCATCAAAGAATTGGGTATAATGACGGGCCCCGGGATGGCACTTGGTATTGTCATATTCTTCTGAATCCGTCGCCACGACGCGACTGAGATGGATGGGCAGCTGTAATCCTTCCCCAGGCGCTCGAGTTTCGAGCGTTTGCATGAATTGCTGTGGATGTTGGTCGTCCATTTCCCGATAACCCCAGAGGGGGGGCCTGGACTCTCGGAAGGCCAATCTTGAAACTCGTCACGATGGCCGCCTTTGGTGCTAGTGAGTGGCCCCAAGTCCTGCGAATGTCTGTTGTGCCTACGACTATGGTGGCGCTGATCTGTCGCTAACACATCATGATACTCATCCGACTTGAGACTCTCGGTCAAGATATCCACCACGAGTTTTCGCCCATTCTCTGCCACGTGATGCGCTACATGGCGATGAATCACATCTGGCATTCCTGGAATGCGCGCCTGAGCGGCTGTGTTGGCAAGCTGGTAGAGAAGCTCAAATTGTTGAATGGGATTCGATGGTGCAGAATCAACGAATGCAACAATTCGAGCAGCATGCTCGAAGTTGCCGCTGGACACTAGAAACCGAGCCTGCGGTATTGGCGGCCAGCCAGGACAATTCGCGACGCCATGAAGTTTCTTCAATGTTTCGACCAAGTAGTGGACGACATCCTCTGATGAGTGGCTGATTGCGAGGCTCTGGGGCAAGTGATGCTGCGCTGCCTGGGCTAGGAAGTAGTCAACGTGTACTGTCCATCGGCTGGAAACAAGAAAGCGAACAGGCGGAGGACTGGTCATCAACTCTGAGATCCTGCGAAGCAAGATTAGAAGCTCTGCTTGCGTATCCTGATTCTCGCATTCGTCCAATTCGTCAATAAGAAAAACCAAAGGCTCCGTACTGCTGCGAGCTGAACATGGCCCGACGATGAGCTGCTGCAGTTGCTCGATCCATGGTCCATTGAGAAGACTTGGCTGCTCTTTCAACGCGCGGAAAATCACATGCCTGCACTCGCGGTCGGTGTGGGCGAGGTAATAGGCCAACACGATAAATATGTTTCGCCCACCGCCAAAGTCGCCCCGTTTGAAAACGAAGGAACCCGCGAGCCGCAGCGAAGCTCGCAGATGGAATGCAACCGTTTGCATAATCGTGGACTTGCCGGAACGGGCGGGACCGTGGAGTAAGCCAAAGGCAGGCTGGTTCGAATCCCCGTCCGTCCAATTGAGAGCACTTTCAATGATGGCCTCGCAGGTTTTTGGATGACAAGCAACACGAGCGAAGTCGGTCTCGAAGGGATGATGGTATGCGAAAGCTGCTCGAAGTAGGACGGAAGCAGATTCATTGAGGGAACAGTCGTCCCCATCTTCGAGGAGAGGTTGTCGCTTGCGCATTAGCATCCGCTTCAGACTACCCAGAAGCATATAGTGCATCGTCGGTGCTCGGTTTATGACGGACAGCTGGAAGCCTTCAACGAGCTTGGAGTTGAGATGGTTTGCATCAAGATAGTTGAAGAGGCCTTCTGGCTGGGCATGGAGAGGAGAGTTTTTGATGGAGAACGAAGCAGCGGTATGAATGTGTTTGTCAATGTCCTGGAGGATGTCCTTGATTGGATATACTAGTGCTGCTTCCACTTGAGAGCGGGCATAGGCCGCTTGGAAGGTTTTATTGAACCAGCTGGACGAGCGTCAGGGCAAAAATGAGATACGAGGTTCTAAAACGCACGACATGCCGCATATGACAGGGGCGCAAAATGAAGACTGGTCCGAGGGAGCTCGACTAATACAAGCTCGTCACAGTGGAACAGCTGGGAAACAATGTGCACTTAGCACTGAGGGAGGATGCCGGGTCAGACAAACCCACGCAACAGGTCTTCACGGTCAATGTTGCTTATGAGTAGCTAGTGGCAATCTGCGAAACCACAGATCATTGTGGACGAAAGGTGTGGTCCGTACTTGACCAGAATAGCCGCGGCTTCAAGTTTGCCTGGAACTTTCTCACAGAGCAGACCCGTGTCGAGCATAGGTGGTGAGAACACCGGGCAAAAAGCTCCCCCCGCGATTTCGACCGCCTTTGAGTTGAATTCAGCCAATTTACCCTCCGAAAAATTTGCAAACTGTACTTGCCATCTTGTCAGGTACCAACTGGGAGCACAATCGGATAGCCAACTTCTAGTAGACCATACGAGCAGCGTAACGACGAAATGTATGCCTCAAGGAACCAACTGTGCTTCTTCCAGAATCTTCCTATAGATGGTCTGGGAAATGGATCAAGTGCGGCTTCCTGGGAAAGACATACTGCTTTGAAATGTTGGCTAGTCCAACTTGAATAGCAAAGAAGGGTGGCCGATTGATCAACAGTGGCGGGGATCTCGTATTTCATTTCGGCGTTTCTGGGAGATACGTCCAACCCATCAATACCGAGCGATATGAAAGCCTCGCGGAAAACTGCAGGCAACTTGAAAGTTGACTGGAGGGACGTCGGTGTTTATAGGATTGTGGATGGGTCAGTGCGCACTCTTCCACGGTTGAGCTTAATCCGAGTGAGATACGAGTCAACCGAACCAGACTTGTGTGCAAACCCATCGTTCTGGTCGAAACCTGGGTCGTCGAACCAACGAGTCACCAGTCACGTGTCAATGATTGTGATCATACCCTTGACTCGAAAAGTGGAAAAGATACAGCTTCTCCAATACAATATGTGTAGGAATAGAAAACGGTGCTGATATGTAGATCTAAATACCTCATAAAAGCGATAGTGGAGTGGCGACTAACCACCATAACATATTAGACCATTCGAGTAATAGCGAGATGACCCCCAAAACCCAAGGAAAATTACAGCCTTAGCACTGATGGTCCTCGTAAAGACGACAGTCATCACCAGGTTTCAAAGTATCCTTGGGGCATATAGGGAACGGGCTCGGGGAATGAAGGGGCACCATAGTCGGGTTGCGGAAAGGATGGACCAGCGGTCGAGGAGCGGTTTCGTTCTGCTGACATAGAACCAGAGCTTTCCAACGTATAGTTGCTCTCATGCTCTGCAACCGGGAAGAGATTTGCGAATGGGCTGTCCTCCGAGAAGCCCTGTCGTCTGCGATAACCAGCGGGAGTTCTGCCAGTGGGCGGCGGAGAAGTGGTCGTATTGTAGGACGTGGGCGATGCAGACAGAGCTGCTGGCTCGTCGTAAAAGGGTGACCGATCCGAGTAAAGTTCGCCTCCCATCGCGGTGGGAATGAGACGCGTCGGGCGATCCATACCGTCGATATTCGCTTCAGGGAAACGGATGTCGCCGCCACCATCAGCTTCCTCCTCGTCGCTCGACAGCGTTTCCCAGCGATCATCAGACTCCGGTCCATCCAGCGCGGAAAGCTGAAGACCCAAGCTCTGTATACCGTCGCGTCTGCTGAGAACTTGGTCAAGCGAGATATGGGGTGCTTTTCGACACAGCTCTGAAAGTGGGACCATATTCAGAATGACGCAGAGTATTTCCAGCATTATTCCGCGCTCATCGGAGGACACATCATCAAATATATGGCGAAACAGCTGGTCCAGTGCCTGTAGTGCAGTATGGCGCGGGTCGCGGGGGGCTGTTGTTGACAGACGTTGGATGAGATTTAGTCGTTCGATAGGATTCTCGTCAGAGTTGCCGATGAACTCGATAATCCGTTCAGCATGCTCGAAAATTCCTGATGAGGTGGAGACGAAGAAGTCTAGATGCGTGCTGGGTACTACTGGTAGAGGTTGCGGCCAGGTATAATAACGGTTGGTAGCCATGCTTGGGTGCGCCTGAAACACACGAGATATTTCATGTGATAGGTATCCGTGAATGTCGTCAGAGGAGTGTTGCATGGAGGCGGAGAAAAGCTTGCCATCATCCTTCAATTGTTCCACATGAAGGGTCGGACGGCTCGACACAAGAAACCTAAATGGAGCCGGTCCGCCAATCTCTTCCACCGCATCCTTCAGCAGCGACACAATAAGTTCTTGATCTTCTGGGTCTTCACATTCGTTCAACCCATCGATGAGAAAAGCTAATGGGGCGCGACTGTTGCGCTCTAGACAAGGCTCGACAATAAGCTTTCGCAACTGCTCGCTCCATGATGTAGTGGAATCAACGAGAGCCGGCTCTTTCCGGAGCGCTCGGAAAATTAGCCTCCGACATTCGGCATCTGCATGGGCAAGCTGGAATGCCAAAGCAACAAAGAGGCCATTGGGATTGCGCCAGTCTGGGTCGTCACGGTCGAAGAAGAATGCGCCAGCTAAGTGGTCCACGTTGCGCAACCGGAATGCAAGTGTTTGCATGACTGTCGATTTTCCGGTGCGAGGAGGGCCATAGAGCAAACAAAGCGCCGATTGGTCAGAGTGAGTGGTGGCCCAAGCGAGCAAATCATTAAGGATATTGTTGCGCGTTCTAGGATGACATGTCTCTCGCTGAAAATCCGCCGGAATGGGGACAGTACGGTCTCCAGACGTTGCTGCCTTTGTTAAAAGGGAGGCTGGGTCGACTGAGGGGCTGTGGACATCATGCGGGCCCGGGTCCACGCCATGGTGTTGCTTGAGATCTTGGCAAAGCATGTATTCGATACTCGCCCTTCGGACAACGGCAATTTGGAAGGCGTGGATTAGTGGGCCGTTGAGTGAATTTCTGTTGAGATAGTCGAAGAGCCGCTCCGCCTGCTCAAGACGGGGAGCATCACTAATCGTCAAAGCTTCGGTGTAATTGACGAAGGGCCCGAGGTCTTGGAGTACATCTTTGACCGCGAAAGACAACGCGGCCTCAACTTCAGACCGCGAAAATGTCGAGTCGAAAGTTTTCCCAAACCAGCTACTCGGCATCTAAGTGAAACCAAACGGGTATGAAGGGTATAAGGACGCACGACATTGTGTCCAGCCGACAGTGCTAGCAGGCGCTAGCGTGCCTTGTTCAACTTTCTTGAAAGAAGAACAGGTGGTAGAGCTGAGGTAACGATGGAGGGAGACACCAATCGCGCCAGGATGAGGGCTATTAGCACCTTCGGGATGCCAAAATTAGAACTAGAGTCATGCAAAAACAAAAACAAGAGCGGTGACGACACGGTCACACAACAGCCGGTTATCCCGACTAACAGGGGCTCCTTATCTGCTAAAACGGTCCGATCTTCCACAATCGTCCACTCTCTGAGTCTCTAGCTATTAAGTCGCCATGAAAGACGATTAGTTCGTACGACCTTCCAACGGATCCGAGGCGTTACCTATTCAACCTATGTGCAAAACCGCACGCGTTCGGGCGGTAATGCCAATACTGTTGGAATTAGTTCCAAGAAAAGTCCCAACGGTATACTGCTCGACAATAATGGCGGAAATGAGAACGGCGGAGAGCAAGCGGAGAGTGCAGATGATGCTCAAGGACACCGAGGTTCACGGAGCCTTCCTCTGGCTATCAAGCACCGAACTAACGGCAAGTAGACAAAGGGTAGAATGTCAGCTCCTTCGTTCCCAGCAGCGAGAAATCTCATTATTGTCATTGCAAGTTGTGGTATCAAGGAGAAGTGATTCGAGACGGATATCCAGGAGCAGAAGAAGTGACAAGTCATGATCAGGGAAACGACATCGTTGGGTGAGCTATCGAAGACATGAATGGTAAATGTAGATGTAGTTAGGGGGAGGTCTGGAGAGATAAAAAAAGAGTCAGCAAACGTGGAGAGCATCGGGAAGAGGAGAAAGATGAGGCTCATCGGAATAAAGTGTCGTCTAGCGCACCGCAAGCGGCGACTCCGACTCATTAAATCAGTATATGTTTTTCAATCATCGGCATATCCGGGAAGAAGGGGACAAATGAGAGAGAAGCTCACTCTCGAGGCAACAAGTAGAACTCTGCCGGTCGTCGTAGTTTCGAAGAAAAAATTGTGTCACGCGTCACAGCGTTACCTGTGCCATCCAGGGTCTCCTCAACGCTGCTCGCCATGGCAGGGAAGAAGGCCACATTCGAGATAACAACCCTTACCCGCGAGTACAAGTACTCTCAGGAGATATCCCAAATGGTAGTGTGATTTTCGCCTGGGTTGACTCACAACTGAATTCTCCAGATGTTTGTCTTCGGCGAGGTGCAGGACCCGAATATGGAGACTGTAAACCTGGTGGAAGACATTGTCAGAGGTCAAATAATCGAGTTGGTACGCTTAAAGCCCGTTTCTCTGAAGTCATGCTGATTGGAATACAGATAGTCCAAGCGAGAGGACTTGCAACTCGTCGTGGCGCGCGATACCTTTCAGCAGAAGACCTAATATTCCTCATTCGACACGACCGTGGCAAGGTCAATCGACTGCGAACGTATTTGTCATGGAAAGATGTTCGGAAACATGCTAAGGACTCAGGCGGAGACGGTGGTGGAGGCGTAGAGGTTGAAGCGCTTGAAGACGGAGGAGACGGTACGTCTTATTTGCTGTTTTTTTGCCACAGCCTTAACTCAATTTCGTATAGAGAAACTCACGGCCAAAGCACAGAAAATCACAATTAAGTTGCCTTGGGAAATCACGACTATATACTCAGAGGTGCTCAAACAAAGCGGCCACCAGTCAGACGATGAAGAAGACGAGGATGACATTGAAGCGCATGAAGCCTCAGTCTTGCGACTCAAAGAAGCCGACGACGCAACACGACAAATGACGCGAGAAGAGTATCAGCACTATTCTGACTGTCGACAAGCTTCATTCACATACCGCAAAGGTTTGTTGCATCTACTGACTACAAAACCTATAGTGACCTTTATTTCAGCGAAACGATTTCGCGAATTCCTCAACTTACCTACCCACCTCGACCTGAAGGCTGGCGATGACACCGTTGACATCGTCGGTTTCCTTGCATTCGAGATGGTCCGGTCGCTTACTCTCGCTGGTCTCGCCATCAAAAAGTCACTTGAAGAGGACTCCCACTTACGGGAAGAATACGCGTCGCCCTTATTAGGCAAGCGGAAAGCACTTGGTGTTATGGGTGGGGCAGAGAAACGACGGCGAGAAGATTCTCCAGACCGTGATGCAGAGACGTCGTTGCCGGTCAACACCCTCTTCTTGCCCCCGCCAGAGGCCAGAACCGCTTTGCGGCCCGAACATATTCAAGACGCATTTTCCAGGATGCAGAATGAATGGGCTCATAGTAGGTCGGCAGGGTCGCGCAATTGGCGCGGTGGTTTGGTACGGACACGGGTATCTCTCATCTAATTAATGTAGCTTGACTATTTGCGCTGTATTTTTAGCTTGTACTTTCTGTTGACATCTTTATCGTGGAGAGTTTCCTTCCCCATCCTGCTTGTAATATCCAACCAATGAATTTCACTTGGAATCTTACTAGACTCGTAACCTCGACCTCGTTGAGTTGACCAGAGGAAACTAAACGGGGTCACAAGCATTGACAGGCTTGCTCTTCAACCACCATGACTCCAAGCGTTTTTGGCGCTCTTCTCTCAACTGCCGCGATCGTATCTGGTTTCCCTCAGCCTCAGGCCCCTCTGAGCATTACTTCAAGCCCCGTTTCACTGCCCTCGCGTCCGCTACAATGGGGAGACCTCAATGTCATATCAACAACCGACACCCATGGCTGGTTCGTCTTTATCAGCAGACTTGAACTCCTCCAATCCATCCCAGGCTCTTAGGACACCAGAAGAAGTCCCCGCCAGAACCAAACTACAGGTTAATCCGCGTCGACTCGCTCAAGGAAACTGACGCTCGTCAGTGGGACGTGGGGAGACTACGCCTCGTTTGTAGCGCACATGAAGCGAATAGCCGAGGTATGTCGCGTTCCAATTCTCTGCTGTATGCTTACGTCGGGCGCAGGAGATGGACGTCGACCTGCTGTTGGTTGATTCGGGCGACATGCATGATGGTGCTTGCAGTAACACCGCGACGGTTTGGAGGCTCAAGAGGACATGCAGGGACAGGGCTGTCGGATGGATTCCCCCCTGGCGGCGTAGACGCTCAAGATGTGTGTGTTCAATGCAACCTTTCGAGTTCGACTAATGGTTATTATAGTCTGGAGAATTTTTCAAGCAAATGCCTTATGATGTCCTTGCTATTGGAAAGTGCGCCGTCTTGCGTCGATTCCCGACTATGTCTCATGAGAAACTCAGCCATGAACTGTACAAATACGCAAATACCTTCGACATGTAGGATGCCACAGCCTTATTACGTGTTGTGCTCATGATACATAGGCACACAAACTTTGGGCGCCACTTCCAAGACCGGTATCTCTCCTCGAATGTCAATATCACTGTTTTTGACGAGAGCGGCAAACCCGTGAGCTTGCCTGTAGGCAGTAGGTTCTTGAATCTAAACCGAGTTTCCCATTGACGTGCCGTTTAGAACGATTTCGCAAATTTAAGACGCGCAAGTGCGTGCACTTTCATGCTTCCGGGTCAACCCTTGAACCTCGAGCCACAGAGGCAAAAGCATCACAGCGTTTGGTGTCCTCTACGACTTCACAACAAACGATGTGAATACCACCGTGCAGCCAGTTGAGAGCCTCATACGTGAGAAGTGGGTAAGTGCAATTGTGTTTCATAAAACAGGGCTGCAGCTTTTTTTTTAGTTTCTTGACGCGATAACGGAAGAACCAGATGTATTTCTACTCGTCGGGTAGGCATCTGTACAATCTACAATCTACTCTACTTGTACTGACTAGACTACAGACATATGACAATCTCTAGCTATGGCTGGGGGCTTGTTTTTGACACTATTCGCGAAAGACATCCGACTACTCCCATTTTGATTTTTGGTGGTAAGTCAGTCGCGACTGTCCCAACGGATACCTAACAGCACCCAGGTCATCTGCATATCCGTGATTGCCGTACGTCTTGCCTTCAAGAGTCCAGTCGTCAAGCAGCTTAATTGTCTCAGTGCAGTTTGACGAGCGGTCAATGTCTTTGGCCAGTGGACGATATATGGAGACGATAGGTTCGTATCCAGTGTCACAAAGTCTTCGCCTGCTGATCTTTCGTAGGGTGGATGAGTACGTTCGCAGCCTGATTGCTCTAAGCACACCTGACACAATACCGAAGGTGTCGATTTCGACGAAGCCGGCACTGGTCCTTTGAATTTCAGTCGCCGTTACCTGGATGCCAACCCAACAACGTACAAGGTCAGTACTTCAGTATTCATCAACGGAGAGGATTGTAGATTCTGATCCTGCCTGTAGTACCACACCGGGAAATCAGACGACACATTTTTCACCGAGCAGGGCAAAAACATCACGGACGGATTACATCAGCTCGAAAAACGCTTCGACTTGACTTACCAGTATGGTGTTTCTCCAAGAGACTTTACCATGACGCGGTAAGCTTTCTTGCTCTACAAAGTAACGACGTTAAAAGGGCAACAGGGACCAATACCCATCTAAAGGTTCTCTGCTGTCTTTGACCGCAGAAGAGGTGATTTCTTCTTCTAGCTTCATCGCATTCTTATCCTTGCTCAGGTCGTTCCGTTGGCCATCTCCCTAGACACTTCGCGCACCAACATCCCTTTTATTCTCATTATCAGCTCGGGATCGCAGCGTTTCGACATTTTCAAAGGACCACTGACGAAGAACGACCAACTCACGGCATCGCCTTTCGTGAATCGCTACATTTACATTCCGGATGTCCCTTATGCTGCGGCGACCAAGGTGCTGCCCACTTTGAACGCAGATGGGCCAGAACGGATATGGGTTGACAGCGAGAAAATGTCTTCTCCTGAGGAGCTTAGACAACGGCGAATTAGAGAGTTGGAGAGCAATGTAGAGCGAAGCTATCGGGGATGGTTAGAAGACATGCATCAACGAAAAGCGACTACCTTGTCAGAACTAACACTTGGATATGTTACGGCCGACGTGGGTCCGCTGCAACCTGTGTTCTATAATGACACTGATCACTTTCAGTCTTGCCCAGGCGTTGGCGACGATGTCGAGCACACACCGCTCCCTGTCTACCCAATCCCATCCTTCATTGCGTCAAGAACTCCAGACCCAATTCACACGCATGTCGACCTTGTCTTCGACGACTTCTTCAGAGACCAGATCCTCAAAACACTGAATAAAGTTCAAAGTTCTCGTATCTACGCAGTCGAGGATGTTGCAGACTACACAGATGTGCTCTCAAACGAGGTTTTGGGGATATATGCGCAACATGTGTGGAACTAGGCTATCCTGTAGTATCTAATTTCATAATATAGCAACTAATAGCATTTGGTGGGGGGCGAAGAGCTGAGCGAGAACAAGTCACGATGACAAACTAGCGGGATCTGTGCCAATGTGTTCTGCTGAGGACTACATCCTGTACGGGTACCCCATGCGTTCCCATCTAATGGCCTCTTCAGTGCGACCCCACTCTACATCTTCATCGCAAGTCCTGACACCTTCCTTGAGTCGCCATCGTGGAGCCTCCCATATGTACTGCACTCCAGTCTCCTCGTCAAGATTGATATGAGACGGTCCCTGTGCAATCTCTTCGAAGTAGGCATTGAGAATGTCCATTTTCCTGTCCGAACCAGGGCTGTTCAGAGGGGCATAACCAATGAAAGGATGTGGAGTTTGAACGCCACGACGGTAAGGCGACGGGATGTTCCATTTTTAATTAATGTCATACAAGACGTCCCGGATGTCCTGCAGATTCGTGGCCAGCCCTTTGTTCGCTGAAGCCAGGCCGAAATCGATGATTACGGGACGAAGCGGATCCAGATTTCGCAAAAATGATGTTTCTTGCTGCGAAGTCCGGATTGTTTACACCCAGGTTGCGGATAGCTCGAGCGACGTCGATGATGGCATGAGCAGCGCGCTTCGCATCAGGAGGAGTGATCTGTGGAGGTGACGAAGGGTTGGTGGATATTGTAGCCGCAAGCTGTATATGATGAAGAGGTGCGCCAGGAATATACTCGAGTGCAAGGAACGGGACACTAGACAAAAGTGGGTCGTCGAAGCCATAGATTGGGGGTTTGTACGTCCCGCTGCCAAACAAGCAAGGAATAGAGTGCCCCTGGAGCGATTCGAGAGCCTGGTAGACAGCCATTTCATTGGAGTGTGACTCGAAAGTTTGCTCCCAGTGGTCCATTTCTTGTGACCATAGACAGAGCGTCCCTTCACGATCAGCAAACCAATCATCGTAGAAGTCTTCATCTTTGTTTATTCGCTCTTGTCGCGTGACAGGCTGAGTGGCGCCGGTGCATTTCCAATGGTTCGGCCAACGCTTCGTGCGGAAGTCGCGCAGATGAGCTGTGAAGAAATCGCGGAATCTTGGTGACCACGGGGATGTGCTGCGTTCTTGGTCCAGCTCGCGCATTAACGGGATTCTGTTAGGAATATGTCGCGGATCGCTGAATTTTATGACGAAGCGTGGAGGGAGTGGTAAAACGCCACTTTGAAGTTCGGCGACAACCACCTGGCTGAATGTAAAAGGGCGGAACGCCTGCAAGACCCGAACAGAGATCTTTTGAGGAGTTGACGTTTTCGATAATGATAGACTGAGTTGATTCACTGGCAGTTGAAGCATCTGTCCCTCGGAATATTGATGGGGTACACACTCCGCAGGCCTCAAGAAATGTCAAACGAGCTGAAAAGAGGTTTTGAACAAGAATACCTAGTATCCAAAGCCATTCGCGACCGAGTGAAGTACATGTGACGGACTCCTTTTGGATCGAGGAGCGACACTCCAGATTCGTGTCGCCTTTGAGTGGGCGGGGCCCGGGCGTATACGTAGAGCTCTCCATTGTGAGAGCATTCACCAACTGATTTATCGGGGCTTGCGCAGTCGGCGAGAAATAATCTGGTGTCCTGAGAAGAGGATGTGCAGGCCCAACTTTACTAAGTTTGAACTGCACGCCCCACGGGCAGATGGGTAAAACGCGACGCAAGACTGAGCCTGTTAGTCTGTCGCCAAAGCAAAGACAGAGAGCCCAGAAGCGCAGAGGAGGGATGGGTTGGAAGGCGAGGGCAGACGAGGTATACTGCAACAGAAGTCTAAGTCGCGAAAAGTCACACAGTCATACGTCACACAGTCATAACACGCACCTAGACGCACCTTTCGACCAAAATAATGATGATAATAGTAACTGAAGGTCAGCCGACGGCGTTGCACAAGCTGAGGACTACACTAGCCACCTACTACCAGATTTTCTAACCATACACTTGCGGCAGCAAGTCAAGATCATGATGACAAATCAAGCGTGATCGTGTCATGAAAAATCTCGCAGTCTATAAGTCCCAATCCTCCAGCGCGAAGGCGAGCACGCTAAATGACGCAGACACATCTTCGCCTCCACTCGCCAAACTCTCCACCCCTCGCCTCACAAATCGCACCAGGCCATCCAGCTCAGACGAGAGCTTGTCCACCGAGCCAAACCCAGTTTTAAGTTCATCGACCGAAAACGACGTGGCCGCTTGTCCTTCATCTTCCAGATCGATGTCTTCCTCGTCCTGATGAGATTCATCCGAGCTCAGGTCCCCGTCCTTCCTCGAAAAGCTGACAACATTCTTCCGACGGGCTCTTTGCCGCCGACTGTTGTGGCGTCGCGAGACAAGCGAGTGGCGGGAGACGTCAAGGGTAACGGTAGTATTGCCCGCAATGGAGGTGAAGATGTTGCAGAAACGGAGGGCGATGTCCAGGATTGAGATAATGGCACGATGGAGAGCAGCGTCTGTTTTGATCTTCAGACGACACAGTTTGAACAATCAAGCAACCGACCTGGGTCCCCAGTAAGCAAAGACGATGAACATTTCCAACGCTGGAGAAAAGAGATGAGACGATGACGAGGACACTGCGTTGTACTATGAGCTTCCACTATCTCATCCAAAGACTTGGTTCACACAAAAGCTTTGTGGAAGTCGGTCACTTGAGCGTGAATAACCTGCGTTGTGAGAAAATTTAACATTGTACCGCATAGTTCAGCTATTGCAACCAACAAGTACAGAAGAACTCACTTCATGAACAACGCAACCGGCCTCGGAAAGCATCAACCTTTGCCCCTCTGACCAGTATACGCTCTAGCAGGGATTTCGCCCTTCGGAACTGCAGCAGAAACACGAAGACCTCGCCATATACCTGCAGAACCCGTGGCGGAAATACGTATGTAACCGGAGATGGGACAGCATATTCGACTGCCGCTAGCCACTCCCAACAGTTCTGCCCAAGTTAGTGCTGGGGGGTGGCATTGGGGGGATTCTTTATGCCTTCCAGATACGCATCCGCAAAAGCGAGGGTCGATGGTGTCGAAGAAGAAGATAGTGAGTGACATCTTGTTGTGCTTGAGTATGGATGTTTGAGTCTTGACAGCAGAGGAAGCTTGTACCAGAAGGCGCATATGATCGTCCGCTGGAAGAAAAGTTGGAAAACTGCTTATGCAAACAGAAGGCAGGCCGGAGTAGTCTCACCTGGATTTAGTCATCGTCCTGCATCGCGCGTTCTTTTAGCCGCTCGTAACCTGTCTCGGATGCCTCTGCAAGTGTATCTTGAGAAGTTATTCGGGACTTCTGCGCATGTCTTTCAACTTTCAGGGACACGAACAACTTTCGGAATGCAACTCACTTATGGACCTGTTTATCGATGGTATTCATATCCACGCTTGTCGCTGCCTTGGTAATCGTGGTGCTTTCAAGACTCTTGATCGCGTTTTCGACTGCGAAATCCATCGTTGTCTTCCAGTAAACCTGTCAGTTGGATGACCAGGTATTTGCGGATAGGAAAAGACGCGAGTGCGTGTGTCGCAAACGGGGACGTTGGGAGACACGGGAAAGTGGGCAGTTCGACAAGCTAGAAAGTGGGCTGTTAATCAGCCCGATGCAATGCTCGCCGTGACGCACTGGAATGGGGTCTTTGCGAATGTGCGGGAAACGGACGCGGGTGGGATATGTTAGAGTGAACGGAGAGACTTGAAGTACTGGAGGGCAGTCGAGCAAAGAAAATCACTGGTAATCACGTGCAGTAAAGTGGTCCGTTGTCGTCCACTTCGATGCAGTCTGAGTGAATATCCATTGCTCAGCCAACTCCTTAGACTAAACTCTTGCATCCCTCCCGCCGATACCTCTATCTCGACAAAGTCATCATTGTCCGGTCCTTTATCTGCAATTTTGGGCTAGAGCACGCGCAAGTTGACAACACGAACGGAACTAATCAAAATTAGTCCTCTCGCCCTGTGCGGGCAAGTAACGCTGTATTCGGGCGACGATAAAATAACTCCAGCAGCAAAATATACTTGCTTTCTGCAGGAGCTACGATATGCAATGCCAACCTCCAGCCCCCCTTCCTTGTCTGTCAACAGTAAACCAGTCCTAGCACTAGAGCCGGACCCCAGCAGTCCATCGACTCTATCTCACCACTGAATTTTCGTCGTCGCTCAACTTGTGCTCATCAGCAGACTCCGGCGCCAACTCGCCGCACTCGGAAACCATCGAAAAAACTTCCGGCGAAACCTGTTCCAAGATTCGCAGACGGCGTAAATGAAGCGCACCATTGGTACCACCGTATCCCAGTCGAAAATCAACTCGCGCATCCGATCTTCCATTCTTTGGACTCAAAACCTCCCGACGCCACGCATCGTCATTGTCGACTCATCGAGCGGTACATCTGGCGCGCAAAGTTGAGATTCTGTTCTTGACTGGAATATAACAGCTTGTGAACAAATCTTCAGATATTTTCATTGCTATTTTAATTTGATTGTTATAGCTAGAACGAAAAAGACGCTGGTTCAAGTTTTACATGTAGCACATTGACACTATATTCAAGTAGCCGGCGTCTAACAGCAGTTATGGACTTCGAAGTCTGTGGGATACTTGTACCCAAATCAAGCCAACCACCTTGAGACATTTGACGATATCTCTCACGGACGCGATATCCCTGCACAGAACCACCACTAGCACAACTTGAATATCAGCACACTCATACAGTACTACCTGGAATGTCTACGGAGGTCAAAGTCATGAACATCTATGGTAAGATACTACCACTTTATAGCACTCTCAAGTCCTACAGAGAACCATAGGTGGACAAGGTGGAAGTGGAGGGTCTAGTCAATATGGACAGAGTGGCAGAGGTGGAATTGGACAAGGTCCACAACTTGAATTGAAGAACAATCAAATATCAGCGTAAGTTATTGATTATAATCATCTTATTGGCTCTCTCACTTTTACTTCTCCAAGGATTTATGTAAATCAGGGGCATCCAGGCAAGTTATCCTGGAGAAAGTTTAGTTTATTTAATTATATAATATTAGACCTTGAGCAACAAAAGCTTCTTGAATGGATTTCACCTATCAATTTCTTTATTAGACAACAGGAAATCAGTATACAGCCCTTCCAATATCTGTAGGTGGGTGGTGGAGTAGTTTCGTCACTCAGAGTTGTTGACGTGTATTTAGCACTTTTGAATTGAAATTTCTCGTAACCCATCCCAAACAGTCTCAAAAGTGGAGCAGAAATACCTCAAAAGGGAATTTTTCGACAACACACGTCAACAACTCTGAGTAACGAAACCGCTCCACAACCCACCTACAGTTTGTGGAAGGGCTGTAATCCGACAGAAGGATACTGGTGAATGGTTACTTCAAGATCCAAGTTTTCAACAATGGCAATTGGGAATTGGAACAAAAATATGGTACTATGGTATTCGTAAGCTATTCTTATATTTTCTTGATTTCTGTTTTAAGTTAATATAATAGCTGGTGTTGGCAAGACTATTCTTGTGTAAAATTTATCAACTTTTCATTGCTCTATAATGTGCTAATATGTGAATAGCTCAAAAGTTGTTCATTATCTTACTCAATTAAAAGATCAAGATAAAACAATTGGGATAGCTTGTGCATATCTGAACTACAAGGAAGCAGAAGTTCAGACACTTCAGTATCTTTTGGGAGCTCTTTGGAGATAGCTAGTTGTTTTTCAGGATCTAACACCTGCATGGCAGTTATATAAAAAACATGCAGTACACAAGACTAGTGCTACTTTTGATGAGATACAAGGCTTACTGGCACATCTTATCCACAGCTCCAGATTCAGCAAAATTTATATCATTATTGATGCATTGGATGAATATCACAATGACTTCAATGAGCTTATACAGCATATTCTGGAACTTGGAGAGAAAGTTAATATTATGATCACCTGCAGACCAAATATAACCTCACCTGCTGAAGTACCATTTGTCAATCTGCAAATTCATGCAAATAGAAATGATATTTGGAACTTTATAATAATTCAACTCCAAAAGCATAAAAGACTCAGGCGATTTATCAAGAATGATACTTCAGGCTTGCTGCAAGAGAAAATTATAACTGAGATAAATTCTAAAGCAAATGGAATGTATGTACTACATATTTGAAAAATCATTTAAAATATTCTCTTTAGGTTTTTAGCAGTCAAGCTACAAATTGATTCTCTAAGCTTAGCATATACATTGGAAGAACTGCACCAAGCACTTGAAACTTTGCCTACTACACTGAATTCCAGCTATGAGCGGACTTGGGAACATATCCATTCACAAAATACACGGCAGATACATATAGCTCTTTCTGCACTAGCATGGACTGTATTTGCCAAAAGACCTTTAGATGATCTTGAGCTACAGACAGCTCTAGCAATCAGTGAACACCTGGACATTCTTCCTAGCCAAAGATCTTTAGTGCATATTGATGATATTCTTGAGGCTTGCTGTGGTCTAATAGTAATTGATGAACAGACCAGAACTATTAGGCTTGTTCACTACACTGCCCAAGATTTCCTAGAAGGTCTTAAAAGTCAAAGCCTCTATGATATCAAGTCAAACATTATATTATCTCTCATTGCATATTTAAAATTGGTGCACAAATCTACAATATTCAATGAAATTGATTTTCCACTGCTTAACTATTGCCAATATATTTTACTGCATGCAGATGGAGAACCAGAAGAACAACTATACCAGAATTTGATTGAGTGCTTTCAGCAAATATCAGTATCACCTATAATTGCAGGTTGGAAAATACAACCATGGAACTGGGCTCCTTTGCCTGAGAACCTGACACCACTATGGATTGCTGCTTCAGGAAATTTGGTCTTTTTAACTGAGCATCTTCTTATAAGAGGGATATATATACAATTTCCTGAATTGACATCATCAATAACAACTGTTGCTGCCTATGGTTATGCTCCAGTCATATTTCACCTATTGAAACATTGTTCACAGTATGATATAGATAGAAGAGACTCAGATGGAAAGAATGCATTGTATTATGCTTCCTCTCAAGGGCACAAAGAAGTTGTAAAACTTCTATTAGAGGCTGGTGCTCAAACTCATATACATTCTATGGAGAATGAAAGTGCACTTCAATCTGCATGTGCAGGTGGTTATCAACAGGTTGTTGAGTTACTTCTAAGTGCTGGTGCAGATATAAATGTGCAAGGTAGCAGCTTTGGTACACCACTTCAAATTGCATCTGCTGCTGGACATAGAGAAATTGCCAAAATTCTTCTTATTGCAGGTGCAGATGTAAATTGGTTTGGGGACTATCATGAGACAGCACTACAATTTGCATGTTGTAAAGGACATTCAGATATTGTAAGACTGCTTCTTGATGCTAGAGCTGATATCAATGCACTTGCTGGCCATAATGAAACTGCACTTTATACTGCTGCTGAGATGGGCCAAACACCAATCATCAGACTTTTGCTAGAAGCTGGTGCTGATCCAAATATATGTGGAGCCTATTATCATACTGCATTACAGACAGCCTCAGCTCATGGACATAGGGAAATTGTAGAGCTTCTACTTGACTCAGGTGCAGATGTTCATATTAATGGAGGTTACTATGGAACAGCACTTCAGGCTGCTTATGCTATGGAGCACCTCACAATAGTTCAACTGCTATATAATGCAGGAGCTACAGCAGACCAGTTTATAGCCAATTTCCAAGTTGCTTATGAGGCTACATTACCAAAAAAAGTTTATGTCCTCAAAAGAATATGATCAGAGCATTCAGCTTCTT